GAACAAAACTATGATGTGGGTGACCGAGAGCTCCTGGCAATAAAACTGGCGTTAGAAGAATGGAGGCATTGGCTGGAGGGAGCTGAGCACCCGGTTCTTGTGTGGACCGACCATAAGAACCTGGCTTACATCCAGTCAACAAAACAAGCTAATCCTCGCCAATCCAGGTGGTCAATCTTCTTCTCTCGTTTCAACCTAATCATCTCCTACAGACCCGGATCCAAGAACGTGAAGCCCGATTCTCTCTCTCGTCTCTACTCCGTCGATCATCCCGAGACTCCTGAACCTGTTCTTCCGGCTTCCTGTACCGTAGGAGTGGTCAACTGGGAAATAACTGACCTCATCAACTCAGCTCTGGCCACTGAACCCGATCCAGGTAACGGTCCATCTAATCGTACATATGTTCCATCTTCTGTCAGGTCCCGTCTCATCCAGTGGATGCATGCCGCCAAATTCACTGCTCATCCAGGAGTCAGTAGAACCATAGCTCTCATCTCCAGACGCTTCTGGTGGCCCACTCTCCACAGGGACGTAAGGGAGTATGTGTTGGCTTGCCGCACATGCGCCCGTAACAAAGCCTCACACCAACCCCCTTCTGGCCTGCTTCAACCACTTCCTGTTCCCTCGCGTCCATGGTCTCATATCGCCATTGATTTTGTCACCGGTCTCCCTGTCTCCCGAGGTATGTCCACTATACTCACCATTGTTGACCGCTTCTCGAAGTCCTGCCACCTTGTTCCCCTCAGAAAGCTTCCCACGGCCTTCCAGACTGCTCAACTTCTAATTAAACATGTTTTCCGGCTTCATGGCATCCCCCAAGAGATCCTCTCGGACAGAGGTCCTCAATTCATCTCCCAGGTATGGAAGACTTTTTGCTCTGCTCTCGGCTGCAAACCCTCTCTCACCTCAGGTTACCACGCCCAATCGAATGGTCAGACAGAACGCATGAACCAACAGTTGGAATCCCCCCTCCGCTGTCTCACGTCAAATAACCCCGTGGACTGGAGCCAATTTCTTCCATGGATTGAATATGCCCACAACTCCCTCCGTTCTGCATCCACTGGACAATCCCCATTCCAGGTCAGTCTCGGGTATCAACCGCCTCTTTTCCCCGCAGATGAGAGAGAGATATCGGTGCTGTCCGTCAATCATCACATCCGTCGTTGTCAGAGGATCTGGAGGGAAACCATCGCCACACTCAACCAGTCTTCAGCATCTGCAAAACGTTTCGCTGACGCCAAGAGACGTCCCGCCCCCGAGTACTCTGAGGGCCAGGAGGTATGGCTCTCCACTCGAGACATCCCCCTCAAGGGGATGTCTCGAAAACTCTCCCCGAGATTCATTGGACCATACCGGATCACTCGAGTTATCAACCCCTCAGCTGTCCGTCTCCAGTTACCTCAGTCCCTCCGGATCCACCCCACTTTCCACGTGTCCCAGATCAAGCCTGTTTCCTCGAGCCCTCTGTGCCCACCGTCCGACTCCCCACCACCCGCCCTGGAGGTCGATGGCCATCCGGCCTTCACAGTGCGCCGCATTGTGGACTCCCGTCGACGAGGTCGCGGATGGCAGTACCTCGTCGACTGGGAGGGCTACGGACCGGAGGATCGCCAGTGGGTCCCAGGCTCGTATATCCTCGATCCTGCACTCATCGAGGAGTACGAGCGTTCCTGCCCATCTACCTCTTCCGGACCGCCAAGGGGCGGTCGTTGAGGGGGGGGGCTGTTGGGAGCTGGAGAAATCCCATCTTTCTCCAGCAGAGTCCGCCGTGGATCCTCTGAGGGAGCCTCCTGCACAGCTGCAGCTCGTCAAAGATCATCAGAGGATCCACTATATAAGCTGTCTTCAGACCTTGCCTCAACGCCGCAGTGTTGTTCCAGTTGGTCAGCGCTAAAGCCTAGATCCTCAGTGTATCTCCATGACTTTGAATCCAGTCTGGATTCTAACTACTGTCTCTGTTTTCCAGGAAACCCATGCCTCCTCTGTGAGATCTCTGGAAGAGCTAACCTGCCGAGCCGACCCTCTGAGCCAAACCCTGAAGATTCACAGAGAACCCCCAAGCAGCTCAGGACTAGAGCTGGGAAATCTAAGCCAAGGTCTGTTCAAGCTAGACGTGAGACGCTGAAGCAGCAAACGGACTCTGCTGACAAACCCTTCTCCAGAACCAACAGTGACTCTCCCAAGATTAACCTGAAGAACCCTCAAGGTACAATCAGTGAACCAGTGGAAATCAAACCCTGTCAGCAGTCACTAACTGTGCTGTCTCTCACGCAGACTCCGGTGAACCAGTTCCAAGGCCCGAACCAGAATCAGTACATTCTGTGTGTTTTGTGCTTTAATAAACTGTTCAACTTTTCATCCTTGTGTCCGTCAGTGGTGTTCTGCATAACTGGGTCTCCTTCAGTGAACCCATCATGACAAGGTCAGGATTAGGAAAACAGAACATTATTAGTAATGCTTGAAAACTCTCTACAACAAAGGCTCATGAATAATCTGGCACTGATGGTTGAGACCAAGTAGTTTAAATAAAAGCAGGAGCAGGTGGATCAAATGAGAATTGAAGAGAAACCAGGCAGAGCCAACAGGTCTAATGATAAAACTATAAGCATGGCTCTTAACTAGGACTTAGCGCATGTTTAACTGGGTTGTAAACATACAGTGCCTTGCAACAGTATTCAGCCCCCTCTAACCTTTTGATCTTTTGCCTCATTTCAGGCTTCAAACATTCATCCATCCATTTTCCATCACGCTTATCCGAAGCAGGGTCGTGAGGGGTGCTGGTGCTTCTCTCCAGCTGTCTACGGGCGAAATGCGGGGTACACCCTGGACAGGTCGCCAGACCATTGCAGGGTAAAACAGAGGCAAACAGGGCAAACAACTGTTCACACACACACTCATACCTAAGGAGAATTTAGAGAAGCCAATAAACCTACAAGTCAGGTTTTTGGACTGTGAGAGGAAGCTGGAGTACCCGTAGAGAACCATGCATGCTCAGGGAGAACATGCATCATGAAGTACAACAAAATTTATCTGATATTTAACAATTTCTTAACAAATAAATTACTGAAGAGTGAGGCATGCAAAATTTATCAGCACATTTAATTTCAGTGCATCAAACTGAAGTTCAGTGAGGATCTCTGAATAATCCAATGTTGACCTAAATGACTGATAATGATAAATAGAATCCAGCTGTGTGTAATAAAGTCTAAGTATAAATTATTGCTGCTCTGTGATTTTCTCAGAGGTCTGCTTAAAGCAAAAAGAGCATCATGAAAAACAAGGAACACACCAGGCAAGTCCGAGATACTGTTGTGGAGAAGTTTAAAGCCAGATTTGGTTACAACCAACCAAGGAGCATTGGGCAAGCGATAATATTGAATTGGAAGAAGCATCAGACCACTGCAAAACTACAAAGACTCAGCTGTCCCTCTAAACTTTCAGTTAAATAAGGAAAAGACTATCAGAGATGCAGCCATGGGCCCATGATCACTCAAGATGAACTGCAGAGATCTAGAGCTGAGGTAGGAGACTCTGTCCATAGGAGAACATTCAGTCGTATACTGCACAAATCTGGCGTTTATTGAAGCCTTAAAAAGTCTGCAAAAGACCTGAGACTGGGACGGAGACTTGCAGCTGTGAGTGCAGCTATAAAATATTTAATCAATGGGGCTGAATCATTTTGCACACACCCAATTTTTCAATGTTTTACTTGTTAAAAGGGAACACTGAATATTCCTTTCTTGAGGCCTGGCAAAAAGAACAATGGCGTTCTCTGATGTAGGGAGGCTGTCCATAAACACAATACACTTCTTGAAGTGGTCTTAGGAGACAAAGCTTTACCTCTGCGAGGTAGACATCACTGGTTGATTCCATGTTACTGAGATCAAAATGCTTAATATCTTGGGCGAGAGATTCAGAGTCACGTTTTTGGACACGGCAACACTGATGGAACTCGGCAAGGTCTCTGACGATCATTTTAATGATCGTCAGAGACCTCTTGTCTACTGTTGTTGTGGAATGACAAAATTGCCTGAACTCCTACAATTCATCAGAAACTGTTCATGGAGCAATGGTAGACCCAGTGTTCCATAACCTCTTGGCCGGGGTAATGGCTCAGCGCGGTGGGGTTCACATGTGTCTCATGGGCGGCTGTCCTGTCGTCTTTGTGGTAAAGGTGAGTCATACAGACAGCTCTGAGTTAGGCTAGGAACCTGTTCTGTCTGTTATCTTAGATAGTCTACCTGCTAGGTAGAATGGCACACTAGACTATCAAACCTCACATCACATTTGCTCACAGCTCTGTGGTTGCTTGAGGAAGAGCTTCCCCTTGCACCCCCATTAGCTGACTTCCCTATGGCAGGATTGGTCTCCTTGCATCGTGGCATAATCGCAGTCGAGCTGGACAATGATCCGCTGGAGATTCTTCCTCACTCGGATGATCTTACCAATAACATCCATACATTACGCATAGACAAACTCAGAGCATCGGACAGTTTGGAGACAACAATTGACTGATTTGTATTATTATGGGGAGAAACTTTAAAACCCAAAAGAAACACAATTTTAAGCTGGAAGACTTGATTCAGGGGACTTTCTTTATGCTGCGTATCAGCACTAACCACTGCACCACCTTTTAGGGCCCAACAGAGACAGTTAATGTTGAGTTATGGCAAATATTTTATACTAACAATGACAGGTATATATTAAGGTGAAACTAATGCTGGAAACGAATGAAAAGGGAGAAAGTATATTATTACTTATTAGAATAGGAAAGATAAATACCTACAGTACCTACTGTTTATTTACCATGAATTGTTTTCATGTTAATGCTATATTTATTGCTTTCTCTAAAATAGTCTTGCTCATGGATGATAGGGGATGAATGAAGTGTTTGAGTTAATGGTTAATCAAACGGTGCTGTTTGTTGATAAGAAAATACATTTTCATTGGTTATAATCTAACAAGGAAATTCTGTTAAGTGTAAAGTTCATTCTGAATATGACAAAAGAGCCGAGCTGCAGGATAACGAGTGAACACGTTTAGAAGGACTGCAGTCCAGAAAATCAAGGGGAAAGAATATTGTGAGTGTAACTGTTAATTACTAATATTGGTAAATATCAGTTTGGGAGAATGTAGTTAGGTCATGTCTGGTAACTGGTTTTTATTTTACAAATAATGTCTGTCAAGGTATTTGACCATCATGAAATTGCTTGTTAATCTCCTTGAATTGGACTTTCTCTTAAATCTGACTCCAGAGTAAACTTTTTGTGAAGCCTTATAAGAATCATCACCCTGTGAGGGTTTGTGTCAGTATTTGACATTTGTAAAACATCGATAAAATAGACCTTTTGAAAAAACATACCTTCATCTTTTGTGAGCAAAATCTTGTTTATGTTCTTATGTCTGATTAATGCCTGACTTCATGAAAAGGAGATCTTTCAGGGAAAGGTTAAAATGAATTAACTTGCTTCACATGTATAAACGTCAATGTTAATTTAATCCTTGACCAAAGACCCTGTTGAAGGTTAAACCTTTATTTCTAGTAGTATATCAGATAGGTCTTTAAAACATTAAGTATGTTTGTGTTTTTTAGAAGATAAAGACTGAATAAGCTCACAGACAGAGCTACTGGCCAGCAATAAAATACCACTTGTTGACACAGACGGATGAGCAGCTGAGGAAAATTATCGCCACGGAGACCATCTCTGGAGACATCCAACCAGCCCCTCATGAAGCAGCATCTTTCTGACCATCAAGAAAGAAAGACTTCAACATTTCTCTGTTTTCATCAACTGATAGAACACCAGCATAAATGTAAAAATCAGGCAGATTGAAACCTTTTATTATTATAATAAATAAAAATAAATTATTATAATATAATAATACTATAAAAATGGACAAAATAGCTATTTTGGAAACTTTCCTGAGCTGCCGTGTGTGTTCAGAGACTTTCAGAGATCCAGTGTCTCTGAGCTGCAACCACAGCTTCTGTTCAAGCTGCCTGAAGGAATTCTGGGGACAAACTGAAAACACGAACTGTCCCACCTGTGAAAGAAAATCTTCCAATGAATTTCCACTAGTGAATATGATTCTGAAGAACCTGGCTGATTCTTTTACTGAACGGCAGGTATCTGGACCATCAGAGACGGAGAAAGGAGAAAATCAGTTGATAGTGGTGTGCAGTGAACACCAAGAAGACCCTAAATCCTTCTGTAAAGACGATCAGAGAGCAGTTTGTCCTGTCTGTGAGTTTTCTCTCCATCAGAGTCACAAAGTGGTTCCTCTAGAACAAGCAGTCAGTGAACTGAAGGAGCAGCTGAAATCTGACTTAAAGCCTCTGCAGGAAAAGAAGGACAAATACAAAGAAGTGGAGAAAACATATGATGATATGCTTCAACACTCAAAGGAGCAGCTGTTTTCCACAGAGAGACAGATCAGAGCAGAGTTCAAAAAGCTCCACCAGTTCCTGAAAGAGGAAGAGGAGTCTAGACTGGCAGCTCTGAGGGAGGAAGAGGAGCAGAAGAGGAAGACTATCAGCATAGAGATGAAGAGGGTTCAGGAGCAGATCTCCTCTCTGTCAGACAGTATCTCTGCTGTTGAAGAAGACCTGCAGAAAAACAACCTGTTGTTCCTCAGCAGCTATAAAGCCACTCAGAGCAGAGCCAGAGCCCAGAGCTCACTGTCAGATCCACAGCTGCTCTCAGGAGCTCTGATAGATGTGGCCAAACATCTGGGCAACCTGTCCTTCAGAGTCTGGGAGAAGATGAAGGAGAAGGTCCAGTTCTATCCTGTCATTCTGGACCCAAACACTGCTAATGGATGGCTCCATCTGTCTGATGATCTGACCTGTGTGAGACATCGAGACACAAAGCAGGAGGTTCCTGATAATCCAGAGAGAAACACCAAATATATTGAGGTCTTTGGTTCTGATGGCTTCAGCTCTGGACAGCACAGCTGGGAGGTGGAGGTGGGAGACCATCCTGTTTGGCTGGTAGGTTTGGTTAAAGAATCTGTTAACAGAAAAAAATATAAATGTGCTTCATCAGAATACGGGGTTTGGTGTTTATGGCATGATGATGGAGAATATGCTAACGGTGATGGTCAGCCTCTCTCAGTGAAGCAAAGTCTCCAGAGAATCAGACTGACCCTGGACTATGACAGAGGGGGGGTGTCCTTCTATGACCCTGAAGACATGAGCCTCATCTACACTTACAGAGACACTTTCACTGAAAAGCTCTTCCCGTATTTTAGTATAGGAGCAGCTGGTGATGCCAAAACATCTGAGGTCAAAATAAATGTCGCTTAGATGCTGATTAGATCAATCTGATATAAGTTATTAAGGACAGAGAAGATCAAAAATCATTCATTGATCCTGTTTGTTTTTTATGATATTATATTCATTTAGTCTCTATTAAGAAGGACTAATAACCTGGCAGCAGGTCAATGTACTCCATTTGGTCCGACTGTCTCTGAGCAGAAATATGGAACATTTCAAAGAAAGCCTCTTGCTGCTGATAGGTGAGGTTTCCATGGGGATGGACAACATCCCCATGGAAACGTTGAAAATGAGTATGAGTATGATTATGATTGTGAAAAAAAACAATCTTGTAAATATTTTTAACACAAGAATAATGGAAATTATGACCAAATAAAATGGGCAAACTTTACAGTAAAAGTAGATGGCCTATGGAGTATAAACCAAACATTACTGCAACCAACACCAAATTATTACTGTTTAATTGCTTAATCATAACAAGAAGTAAATCGTGTTTAATCGTAAAGAGTTTGAATCATTACGTCTACCTGAACAGACTTTATTTCCTCCATTGTTCCATTTTTTAATATATAAAGTTTTATTTGGATAGGAAAACATAAATAAATTGTTACTGCAGTATATCTGCTGGGAAATGTTTGCCTCCAAATGATTTATACGACTATAAAAATGGTTTTCTGCTATTTCTGTTGCTTGCTTGAAAAGAAACCCTTTTGAATGAAAAAAATGTTAATTTGAAATCAAATTATATTTTTGGTTGATATGAAAATATAAATTTGGTGGGTTTCAATCCAACAAGGAAGTCCAGCTTTAGTTTAAAGTTCATAATGAAACTGGTGGAATAAAGACTGTGGAAACATTCAGAATAACTGAAGTCTGAGATCAAATAGCAAAAGAGTTGGATAATTCTGAATATTATTGACTGATATTGATAAATATCATTATCATGTAAGAACTTTATTTTTGTAGTCATGTCAGCTGACTGGATATTCTTATTTAACGAACAATCTCTCTATTCAGGTAATTTTAATTATCTCATTGGATTTTCTCTTTGTTTAGCATTTATATGCATTATCCAACACTGGCTCTTTATGAAGCCATAGTCATGTTGCACTAATCATCATTGCATCACTTCCTGTTGTAGCTTCTGCAGATCTATGTTGTGCTGCGCTTTAATCTTCTGTTTGGTCTTAATTGTCTTTTGTCAATAAAATATTTCTAAATGGATCAAAATGAATTTCTGTGCATAAGTGTACATGCCCCCCCGCCCCCAATTTTAACACTGGACCCAATTCCCCCTTTTTAAGGTCATAATTAACATCACTGGTAAAACAAATGATTACTGCTCCATTATTTTGACTAATTCACATCACATGTTGCACTGACAGTCCATGTGCCACTGATGGTGTGTTTCAGTTGTACATTAATACAGGTAATTTATTTAAGCAAATTAAGCAAATTAAGCAATTTAAGCAAAGTGCTTATATTTAAGCACTTTGCCCACAATATTTATGTGTAACATGCAGGGCAGTACTAACACAAATGAATAAATGTAACCACCAGCTGAGTGCAGCATCCAGGTGGCACTGAATATAAATAATGCTTGTACTGGAGAATCTTCTCCCAAAAATTGTTTTTTCTTCAAGCTTTTATAAACCAGTAAGGCTTGTTTCCTTTTAATGTGGACCTGATACGTCAAATTACATCTCTATAGTTGACCATTTTAATGAAGTTTTGCCTTGATTGAAGAAGGAAGCTGCTGCAGAACTACTATGAAACCTGGATACGTCTTGGATAAGGTGTCTGAAACCAAAAGGCAAACAGAGGATTTCTGTATAAAATTTCAGTGGGAGTTTTTTGTCAGACCGACTCCTGTATGCTCTAATGAAGGTATTTCCAGCCACAGCCACGTGAGGACTTTCCTCACTCTATTGCATTCTACTTTCTCTAATTTTCAAGTTTGTGTTATTTGTTAGATCATCTTCTAATTGTATTTTCTCTCTGCTTTTTCTAATCACGGTAGGTTTATCTGGTCTGTTGCTGTTTAGCTGTGACCCCATCCTGGATGGAGGGATCAGCTGGGCTGCTGCTGTCACATAATAGATTTGGGCCTGTTTTTTAATGCTTAGTCCTGTTTCTCTCCCAGACATGTTGAAAGGCTCAGTCTTTACCGTAACTAGCTGTATGTGTTCACTTCTATCCTTTTTGACGTGAAAGCTTAGACTTACACAACATTTATTGTCATTTTGTATAATCAGAGTGTATAGAAAACAAAATTTCATTTTGTACAGCTTCCAGATAGTGAATGAGCTGCAACTTACAGTAGCAGTAAAAAGCTGACTCAGAATTCACCTGCTTACAGTAGATGTTTTTTTCCAGATAGAGACATAGTGAACTGATTTAATGTTAACTTTTCTAAGAGAGAAATAATTAATGGATCTGTGTGTCTTTGTTTATTTTTGTATGGGCAATGCACAATGGCAGCCCACTGCTCCCCAAGGGGATGGGTTAAATGCAGAGTGTGAATTTTGTGGCTTTGCATTTGTGACAATTTAATGACAATAAAGTTGAATTCTATTCTGTTGTATTCTGTTATATTCTTGTATGTCTGTTTCTTTCTGACTGAACCCCACTCAGTCTCAACAGATGGCTCCTCAGACTGGGCCTAGTTCTGCTGGAGGTTTATTTCTGGTAAGAGAATCTTTACTCTCCACTTTTGCTGCATGCATGCTTGGATTGAGGGATTGCTGAAGAGCCAACCAAACAACTCAAGCTGTTGACTGCAGCCACATGCTCATCCAGGAGGAAAGGGTCCTGCAAAGTCAATGACTCAATACAGTCAGCAGGGTTTATTTAGATAAAAAATAACCAGTCAGACTATGATCAGACTGAGTTGTCTCTGTAGAGTACTTTGAGCTGATGTGTTGTGGATTGGCACATTATAAATAAAACCAAATTGAATTTAATCATTTCAGATATTCTGGAAACTTAACTGGATTCTATGTAGCAACTATCAACAGTTAATATTTGTATATGTCCATCATACACATTTAAACTACTGAGCTATGAAAGAAAACCTGAAAAAAAAAAATACAGTAGAAATATCTCGATTTTGATGGAAAACTGAAAAGAGACCATTAACTTCAAGATGAGTAAAATATCCAAATGTTAAATTATACAATACAATTATAACTTTAAATCAACTTTATATATAGGTCCCTAAAACAACAGCTGCCACACTGTGCTGCAAATGCCAAAGATTTAAAATATCCTATTGTAAGAGTTACTGTTTTTTCAAAATGATAAAAAAAAAAGATGAAATTGCATCATCTAGTGGCAATTTGGCAGAATAGATTTTTATAACCATCGGCTCCACCCAGAACAGAATAAACGAAACTGAAATGCTTGGTTTGCTAAAGAAGAACACAGCTTAAAGGAAAGTCCCACATCTCTACAGGAGGAGCGCACTAAAGAAGAACTGGAAGGAAGGGTGCTGCCTGGAAGAATAAAAGATTTTTTAATGGCAGACAGAGCTATTTTGGAAACTTTCCTGAGCTGCCATGTGTGTTCAGAGACTTTCAGAGATCCTGTGTCTCTGAGCTGCAACCACAGCTTCTGTTCAAGCTGCCTGAAGGAATTCTGGGAACAAACTGAAAACAGGAACTGTCCCATCTGTAAGCGATCGTCAAAGAAAGATCCATCCATTAACTTCTCCCTCAGAGAACTTGCTGATTTGTTTGCTGAGAAGCAAAATGAAGCTTCAACTGAAACGGAAAAGAAATATAAGAAAGAGGAGGTGGTGTGTGTGAAACATGCCGATGTTCCTTATTGGTTCTGTAAAAATGAGAAGAGAGCTGTGTGTCCTGTCTGTGAGTTTTCTCTCCACCAGAGTCACAAAGTGGTTCCTCTAGAACAAGCAGTCAGTGAACTGAAGGAGCAGCTGAAATCTGACTTAAAGCCTCTGCAGGAAAAGAAGGACAAATACAAAGAAGTGGAGAAAACATATGATGATATGCTTCAACACTCCAAGGAGCAGCTTTTGTCCACAGAGAGACAGATCAGAGCAGAGTCTAACAAGCTCCACCAGTTCCTGAAAGAGGAAGAGGAGTCTAGACTGGCAGCTCTGAGGGAGGAAGAGGAGCAGAAGAGGAAGACTATCAGCATAGAGATGAAGAGGATTCAGGAGCAGATCTCCTCTCTGTCAGACAGTATCTCTGCTGTTGAAGAAGACCTGCAGAAAAACAACCTGTTGTTCCTCAGCAGCTATAAAGCCACTCAGAGCAGAGCCAGAGCCCAGAGCTCACTGTCAGATCCACAGCTGCTCTCAGGAGCTCTGATAGATGTGGCCAAACATCTGGGCAACCTGTCCTACAGAGTCTGGGAGAAGATGAAGGAGAAGGTCCAGTTCTATCCTGTCATTCTGGACCCAAACACTGCTAATGGATGGCTCCATCTGTCTGATGATCTGACCAGCATGAGAAATGTAGACACATGGGAGCATCTTCCTGAAAATCCAGAGAGGAACAAATATATTGAGGTTTTTGGCTCTGAAGGTTTCAGCTCAGGGAAACACAGCTGGGAGGTGGAGGTGGGAGACCATCCTGACTGGTATGTGGGTTTGGTTAAAGAATCAGTCGACAGGAGCGGAGAGAGAGATGTTACACCTGAAAATGGAATCTGGTGTTTGTGTTATGAAAATGGAAAATACACTGATGGTGACAGTAAGGCAGTTTCAGTAAACAAAGGTCTCCAGAGGATTCAAGTTAATCTGGATTACAAAAGAGGGTTGGTGTCCTTTTATAACTGTGAAAACATGTCTCACATCTACAGCTATAGAGACACTTTCACTGAGAAACTCCTCCCATATTTCAGTGTTGGAGAGACTTGTGATGCCAAAATGGCAGAAATTAAAATATGTAAAACTAAAATGTCGGTGAGATTCAACTGACCTGTTTAGTTTTTTCCACGGTAGTGGATTTAATTCAGATGGTCTTTGAGATATTGTAAATGAGACAGAAACAAAACTTTAACCTTTTTTATGTGGATTTTATGAAGCCTAAAAGTTACTAAAGCATAAAACTAGAGAGACATATTTTTAACACTGAAAAAAAAAAAGGTTTGTACAATGCATCAGACTTTAACTGCTTTTCTATAACGTCTGACCTTGCATCATATGTGTGAAAATTGTATAAAGTAATAAATTTATCTGGCCCACCAGAGCAAAAAAAAAAAAAAAAAAAGGCATATTGTAAAGCAAAGTGTAAAAAGTCGCTAAAACTGAAAAATCATAAATTACGAGTGATTTTCTCTTTGTCTATTATTGGTCAAATTAAAGTTTTCATCTATACAGCTTAAACAACGCTTTTAAAACCCTGAGATCATGTGACCAAGGCCTGCAAAGTGCGTAGCACTAGAGGATACAAACGACTTATCCTGTGTCATTTGATCTTCATAAACTCTATTAAGCATTTTCCATTTCTTTTAATAAAATTGTTATATGTATTTGTAATAAAGTAATGATTCCTTCTTACATACAGTCCATATATACATCTTAAAATTGTCTATATAAGGAAATGGTTTAATTTGACCTATCATCTGATTTACGTCTAAGCAATTTAAAATTTCTTTGTAGAGAATCGTAACACAGAACGTCTTGGTTTGCTTTAGCATGAAGATATGGAGGATATACATCTTTCATAAAGACAAATTCATATCTTTCCTCACATAAAGGTTGAAAACCATCAAAAGATTATACTAAGATAGCTTTAGTCAATATAAAATAATTTACCAGTTCATTTCCACCCTGTTAATCCCAATATCCTACAGAAACTGCATACATGTTCACTGCTCAAAGAGAACAACGACCCACTGCAGTATTTCATAACTACAGCACTGATAGTGTAATACTACAAGTACTTTTTTTACACCACTGGATGCTGGTATCAATAAGTTCCTGATGCTATTTGAATAAACTCACAATAAGAGCACCAGAAGACAGGATGTTTGATTGTGTGACAAACAGATTTGATTCAACGATGATCAGTTCAACCATTATAAGGGGTGAACCATGATCGGTTCAAAGCTAGGATGTTGTTTCATTTTTATTTTTAATGTTTTGCTGTGGAAAATGGGGTGAAGTATTAATGAATGAGCTGTTATGTTGTTACTGATTCTTTACTATACTGTGTAAAATGTTTTTCGCCATGTAATCTTTTAAAGAACAGCTTATATCTTCATGTTTTTCTATCTTTTTAGTAATTCAAATATACATTATAATCTAAATCTCACGCTTAATTTTTAGAAACAATATTTTTCTTATATATATTTCCTGTTTATCTGGATTTATTTTTTCCTAATTTGTATGTTAAAAGTCTAAATTTTTATTTGTGAGAACACCAAAAGATTTAACAACCGTTCATCACATTTTAAGTCATGTTTTGTTCCAGCGTGCTCATGTATACCGGTTACAGATAATCATTTTAATAAAGCAAGTATTAAGCATCTATTCTGCAGTGCATTGATTAAAAACAAACCAAAGACACTGAATATTTTATTTAAACTGTCATTTTATTGATAACACCTTAACACATTTTCTTGAAGTTAGAGAAACACGTGTAGCACGTAAGAGAACAGAGCAATAATCTGAGGCATCAGAACTAGAGGAGTAATATTATACAGAAGAAAGTCAAACTGACAAAAAGAGACAAAGGGAAACTAGAAAGAGCTGATTGCTGAGAAACGATTGAAAAAGGTTAGAAACAGAGGAAGCAGGGGAAAAAAAGAGAGAAAGACTCCCTAGGAAGAGAAACCAGCTACCGTAAGTGTTGTCAGAACAACTTAGTCTCTGCTGCAGGAAGAAGATGACAGTATTTCGGGGAGGAAATGGTAGATGAAGCTCAGGCTGATCTCAGCAAAACAGTACAAAAACAATTTAGGTTTGGTTTACAATTATTGCTGTTGCTGTAATGAACGGGATCGTCTATCTGATCCAGTTTCTGGACTTAAAGCATGTTTGTCAAAAAAATAAAAGGTCAAGCTGTGCTTAACCTGTTGCGACTGGACCTCCTCCCTCCAGGAGACAGAAGCTGCACTGACAACACTGAGAACCCATAGAGAAGCATGCAAAAGTATCAACACATCATCATCATCAACGTCCACTTCATCATAGTCATCCTTAGTGCCAGTCATGAATATAATAATCCTTACCATATCAATCTTCTTGATTATATCATCTGGAGACAAAAATAGTTATATGCACTTAAAAAGCTGAGAAAATAGAGAAAGATCAGGTTTACCAGCATTCAGTAGAAAACAAGAACTCAAATAAAAACACCAAAAAAAACAAAATAAAATAAAATCCAAAGTCTTTTTGACTGTCATGCACAAAGATGAAAGCTACGCTGCTAGTGGCAGTGCTATAATACTGTGTACTCCCTCATTTTAAATATGAGTCTTATTATATTGATTTTCAAGGCTAGAAACACACTAAGAAGAACAGGAGAACATCACCTTTGTACTGTACATGCTGCTATTTCTTCTTTTTATCTGGAGAAGGGTAGGAGTCATGTTCGGACAGTGACCTCTTAGTATTAAAACATGTTAAAGTAGACATGGACATCCTCACTGGATGAGACATGAGTACAATACAAACTCTCAGTGGTGAAAAAAGGCTTCGTCTGACAAAATTCACCATCTTATAAAGAAAGTGTTGATGAAGCATCTGAGGGACATTTTACACAAAATACAATCCTGTACAATATGAATTCTAAAGCGTCCCACATACAATTTATTAAAAAAAAAAGAAAACAATTAAACACTATGGAGATCCACATGTGCCACAATTCAAAAGGAAAATAACTGAATTAGTTATATATGTCTTTTAGCTATTAAAAAAATAATGTATTGATATTCAATTAAATAAATCTATCAATTTTGATAAAAGTATATATTTTCAGAAATACCAACAATCATTTCTAATTTTAATGTTACGTACCGACACTAAAATTTATTCTATGGCATAATTATACATTTTAATTTTTATAGGATTAGTTATTTATGGAATAATTCTGAATACATGTACATTTCTTGAATTTTATTATAAAAAAAAAAAAAAAATCTCTATTACATTGTGGAACCTTTGGCACTCCATTGTACTGCCTCACTGCATGTTGGCCAGATTTGCTGCGCTGTGCGTCACTTTAAGAGCAGGTTTTACATGGAACACGTTTCCTTTTTGCACAAAAGCAAGACTTGCAGAATAGGAAAACAAATGAATAAGGAAATATAAAGCACAATAAAAACATCTACTAAAATAAATAAATAAATACTCAAAATAAATAAAAACCTTAGGACTGTTCACCAAACCAACTGCTGGGTCTCTCTGAGTTTCGTGTTCAGACCGAGCGGTGAGACAAAACGCGAAGGCAGCCGATGGTGGACGAAAAACAGTGGAGCTGATCCAGAGTTGCACCTCCACTAAAACAAATAATCAGTTTTCAGGGCTGCAAAGACCATCTGTTCTACTCTGCTGCCTCTGGCACAAGCACTTTATGCTATAAAAGGCTAATAACACTGTACACAAACCAAACCAAATTAAGTAAAACCATAAAAAAAAAGTATAAAAAAAATGTCCTGGGATGAAGACCCTCGCCTTCCATCTCTCATAAACTCCTCCAGAAATCCCTCCCAGGGTTTTAAAGAAAGCTATAAATCTACACACTCATACAAACATATTGCACACTGTATTAAAAGACCAACATGGCTGCAGCACCAAGCAAACACAACCTTCATGATTCATCACTGCTGCAGGTAGGAGTCTACGTTTTTGAATGTGCTTCATTTGGAGAAAAAAACAGCAGTAGCCCCGACATTCTGCTCTAAGGCTTCAGAGATTGGAAAGGTCTCACACCAACAAGGTCAGACAGTCAGAGCTCTGAAGTTTTTCTGCTACTTTCAATTAAACAATAAGAACTTGCTGTTGAGTTCTATTCAGCAGTGCACCTGTAGCAGGGTTAAAAATAACTTTTTAAGAAAGAGGGCTGAGCTTAACGAAGGTGTTCATCTGTCTCTAAGCAACGACTGGAGACACTGACAGAGCCTCCCTGCCTGATCAGAGAATAAAAAGCACCAAGCAGGTTAAGATGAGTCATCGAGCTTTAGGTCCAACTATAAACAGAGGAAGTTTATCAGCAGCATTTCCTCCTAACATGACACCTTACTTATGATACCGGTAGTTATATTATTGGGAAAAGCCGCAGACTGTATGCTCCGCTTGTGTATTTTTACACCACTGCTTCAGGTTGTCCATCTTTATGCATTTTTAAGACATGAATCAGAGCTCCTGAGTTCAGGTTAGAACAAGATGGGAAAGAAACTTTCCTGCTCCGTTTATGTGCTTCAGGCTTCAGCAAAGACTTTCTCCTGCCACAAACACTGCAGCTGAGGAAGAGCAGCAGGTTCCTTAGATTGTGCTCAGTTACCCGGAGTGGACTGTAAATGCTACGTCCCTACTTTGCATGACCGTGCTCACAAACACATCTGTTCAAGTCTGGTCTAATGTTTACTTGCGCTCATCAGTTCAGACCTGTGTTTGACTTAAAAACATGTTTGGATTTTATTTTATACACACAGCCAGTCAATACAAATAGACAACATATCAGTTCAAACGAGTTTTATGGTTTCTTAACCTCGGATCAGTTATAAGGATCAATTTAAGGGTGGGACTAACAATTTCTTTTTGAAAAACGACTATTTTGCAATGATAAGATCATCTAGGAAGTCTAAGGAATTTATCGTAGGTCTATAAAATAAAACTTTAGATTCTGGATCATATTTAAGGAAAGTGTTTTCAAATAATTTTGAAACCATTGATTCTGAAACAGTTTGTTCAAATAGTTGTTCCTTAGCTCTAAGTTTTAAGGGTATAAGCATGTCCTTTGCCGGTGTCTGAGGAAACATTCCTTAGGTCACCCTAAGATGAAAGAACTGGTTAAGACAGCAGAGGAAACACTATGGCTGCAGCCTGCCCTCAACCTGAGGCTACCAGAACACCAAAGAACTGCGGCAAGGGATCATATTCTTCTATTTTAGCTTCTCTTCATTAGCTTCCTCTTCCACAGAAACACAGTAATCAAGCTCTATCATATGCCAGTATCTATTGCTCCACGTCTTCCTAACATAAACCTTTCCTTTATTTAGGTTTAGGAAAGGTACCTTGAGTTTTAAAAGGTATAATGAATAGGCTTAGACTGCTGGAGGACATAATGACCACATAATCCTCACTCGGCTACATTCTCCTACTAATCTCCAATTTTCAATTATCTGTAGTCATTTCAGGTTAACTTTGTTCTCTCCTGGCTTTGTTCTCTTCATAGTAGGAACATGAGGCATTCTGTTCAACTGTGACACATTCCTGGAGGGACGCGCAGGCTGCTGCTGTCAACATGTTCTCCTTCTATAGAGGATCAACTGGGTCCTGTCTTTCACTGGTTACCTCTGTCTCTCTTTCCTAGACATAACTATTGGCTGAAGTTTTACTGCGACTAACTGTATATGTTGTTTTTCATCCCATACAGCAGGAATTACTTCTGCAAATACCCTTTTACTTTTACTTCAGCCCTGTAAAACGCACTCCTGAATCACTGCTTTTGTGGTCTTTATTTTATATGATCTAATGCAAATAATTTGTTGTTTGTAACTGCACCTACATCCATGAGGCGGGAAAACTTTTAATCAATGTAAACAATATTAGGGACATTTACTAAAAGGTATTCGGGCTGCATGTTCCAATTTGAGTCTATGAAAAATGTTAACCCTGTATGCCTTAAGAGAAAATCCACAGTAATCAAATCAAACTAAGTTTCTTTGGATACATTAGACAGGGAAATAAAATTTTTAAATTAAAGAGTTTCAACCTAAACTAAATAAAACCCATACCTGTGATGAGTCTGTGTTAACTTCACACCCCAGCTGTAAAATCATAGCCTGCATTTTGAAACACCCCTTCCACCAGGCAACAACAAAGACTTCATGATTAAAAAATAAAAATGCTAAAAAACAACAGAAACTTCCGCCGCAGTATTACAGCTAACGTCGCAGAGCTAAATTATAAAAACGGCCCAATAACCCTTTTCAACAGAACAGCCACAGTAAAACAAAAACAGCCACTGTTATTATGGGAGATAAAACATGCTTACTTAAAAAGATAAAACAAAAGAAAAAGTCCTTTACCTCTAAAAACCACTGGCATCAAGAAATCTGAGTTATACAAATTACATATACAGTTGCAAATGTGTAACAATAATAATCATAATATAGTAATGATAATTATAGATTTGACTTAAAACTTTACATACTGTATTTCCAGTGCAGTGTTTATGTCACACAGGTGAAGATTCAAAGGAGGACAAGAGGGATGGTGTCACAAAAAATATTGTGGGAGTGGGAAAGAAACCGCACGAAAGAGGAGTCACACCGAATCAAACACCCAGTGAGCCGGAGAGAGGAAGATGAAGACGAGGAAGGCTAGAGGAGTAGAGATGCTGAGCGATGTGAAGCCGGTGTCGGATGATGTCAGAGGCTCACTTTGTGGATGCTGACAGAGGCGGGGTCATAGTTGTTGAAGTAGAGGTGCATGCTGGGGGATGGAGTCCAGTGAGAGAGGGATTGATTTGTTGAGGCGTGATGAGCCATGTCCTCCAAATCAACACTGGATGTGTTCCTTCATCCCTTCCTCCTCCTCCTCTCTCTAGCAGATCGTTCCTGACAGACACAACTGCAGCGTTAAAACCCCAAAAGAGATCAGGGGTCAGTTTCAAGAAGCAGGTTTAACAAATTCAGATTCAAATCTGTAATTCTAAATTGATCTAGTCTAAAGTCGGGAACTCTGAGTGTTCAGTTTCACAACGGCTGCTATCAATTAGTTAAATCAATTTTAACTGGGTCCACTCAGAGTTAAGTGCATGCACAACATGTATGAAAAGCCATTATCATTGGAGCACCGATTCAACGAGTCACCATGACAACAGACAACAGGAAGTGCCTGTTTCATGCCAATGGAATTAGAGATTTTAATGCAGGAATGCAAACAGATAAAATGAGAATGTTTTTAAAAGACAGAGAAACAGCACTACAGCTACAAAGGAGAGGGAGGTGGCACAGGAGAATATTGATGCTCAAGTTAATGCGTAAGTTTATATGATGTGGTCTATGGCACGCTGTTTTCACATTTATTGAAAGCACTCCTCTCTGTTGTTCCGTTTATAGATCACTAAAATAAGATTCTTCCTGATCAAATTAACACTTCTAGACTGAACTGTAATAATATATTTTCTAAATTATGTTTTTTTTTTTAGCAGAAACAGAATTTTAGTAAGTAAAAAAACAAAATTATACTAGTAAGAATTAGAAATGTTTACACATTTTAAGTGGCCGTTCCGACATTTATCAGCTTGGCTGAAAATGTATTTATATCTGAATTTTTTTTTCATAATTAAAATAATACAAATACTGACCAGTAATATTGGGAATATGGAGATCTGAAAGTAATTTATAGACGTCCAGAATGTTTATTCTAGATGTGGAAAATGTCATTTTGTTTAAAATGGGTTATTTAGACATAGAAAAATATATTTTTTTTAGATATCAGGAATACAAATTCAGTAAAACTAGTATATATCAAAACGGCTTGCCACACTCATTATTACCTTAAAAATATTATGGATAATGGTAGTGGATCAATAAGGTGAAATCTCCTGGCAGGTGATGAAAATGAAGTCTAATAATATTGTTCTGATACATAGAACCTGTTGATCATCTCATGGATCCCTCCTCATGTTGATTCAGTTTTCTTTTATACAGTAAAGTGGCTGTTTGCAGCCACGCTTCTAATGTTATAATCCCAATAAATGGCTGTTATAAGTAGCTATCGGTCCAATAGAATGGCTTCAGATTGTGCCAGTGGGCTCATTAGGTTGTTATCATCGAGGGAATCCTACTCCTAACCCTAAAATAATTATTTTTCCTCCGCAGAATTAACAACTTTATTTACGTATAATCTGAAAATAATTTCAGCAGTCCTTCATGTACTGTAAATATAAATAAATAAAAATAGAACAATCTGCATCTCGCTCATATTCAACAAACCGAAAACAAGTGATCTCATGCCCGGTCAACTGAGTTGTAAAATCCTCTCCCTATAAATTTTAAATTCTCTGTGAAAAAGTGCTGATCATTCTTTAATAAGATCCTTGTCAAATGGACATGTAGTGTTTGTTTTTAAAACCTAATGTGTCTTACAGACCAAGTCTAAGATATATATGTTTTTTTATGCCCAAAACTACAACAAAAATCTGACTAAGTCCGGAAATAAAACTGCGTGATTGGCGGTAAGGAGAACGGAGACAGAGGAAACTGAAGAAAACCTGCTACTGACCAGGTTAGCTGTGGGGAAAATGTCACTACAGCAACTGAAACAGAGGTTGAATAAACTCTTTGTGAAACTTAGACAACTTAGAGCTTTCGGTAAACCTACTTTGTGAAACGGACCTCAGATGACTAATAAAGAGAGGCTGGTAAACATTAAGACTTAATTCCTTCATATTTTTGTTGTTTTTTTTTGTTGTTTTTTTTACCTGGTGTCTTTCCAGTTAATTTAATTTAAATAATGAATATTCTAACCTGTTCATTAAGAATTATACAAATATGACTGGGCTTTTGAAACATTACTCAGTTTTCCTTTCTTGCTTTGATGAGACTGAAAATAGATCTTGCAATTTTTTTCTTAAGTTAAACAAGGACTTCACAGCAGATCCTACTTCTGCTACTATCTATCCCTGTCCGGGTGTTGTGTCCTCTTCTGTCCTCTCTGATCTGATCCGGCCTTTTGTAAAAAAACAAAAAACAAAAAAAAGCCCCCAAAAAACTTCCTTTTTTTTTTATATTTTCTTAGCTTGTTTTTTTTCTCTAATATTCACTAAAATGAAAAACTTTTGATTTGTCTTATATAATGCGAAGATACTATAATAAAGAAATACATTTATTTATCGGCCTTATAGAAGTTTTTTTTCTCCTGTGTTACTTAGAAACTCTGCTCTGGGAGGAGCACCATCTGTGGCCATGTTTCCCAGTTGGGTGGCTCTTACCTCACTGGAGAGGCGCAGCTGGCGCGCCTGAGCAGTGGAAGTGGATGTTCTGCCACTTGCTGTCTCTACGATGCCAGACACGAGTCTCCTCCGACTGGCTGGAGCGCGGCCGGCCCTGGTTGTCAACAAACTGAGTCAACCGGATATACGCGATGCAGGCGGCGTCCTCCCCTATCAGGTGGACGTGGGGGTTCAGGATGGTAGTATGGATGGGCTTGTTGTTCTTAGCCAAAACTGAAAAACAAATAAATATATAAATTAGTAATCAGTAGGATACTTTTATTTATCTTAGGGTAAAATCAACAGAAAAAGCGCTGGGCAATAAAAACAGATATAGAGTGTCCTGGAAAATAATTCATACCCTTTTTTAACTTTTACTAGTTTTTGTATCAGAACAACAAACCTTAATGCTCTCTATTTCCGTTCCAAAAGCTATATAACAACTGCAAACCTACCAGGACTCAGATTCTTAAAATCTGCCACAAGTCATGTAGCAACTTCTAAAAGCTTTAGCCTCATGACTGGTGGAAAGGGCCCAAAATGCAGCTTTTTGGTAGAAAAACATACAAGCTGTACTAGGCCTAAAAGGAAAATTAAAGTAGATTTTTTTTCTTCTTTTTTTTCCTAAATAGTGCATTTTTGGCTCTCTGGGGTTTCTGTAGCTGCAGTTTTTGCAAGTGACAGCGTCACCCGATACAGAAAATGACATAACTACAGGTGAGTGAGAAGTTTGTTATCAAGAAAGGAATACAATCATCTGTTCGTTTGGAACTGCAGGGCTTAACATTTTCTGGCGTAGTGGAATTGAGGCGGAGCGAACTTGATCAGCTCCTACTCTGTGTGTGCTCCCAGCGAGGGGATACAAATTCTGGTGGGGATAACTACCTACGCACGACACCGGTGAGGGAGTGGAATGGCGAGTTTATTTAGATGCGGTTGTATTAGAAGAAATGGGGTTTCTGTATTGAAATGAATATTCCCAGTTCCCTGGTTCCCAATCCAGATGGCCTACAAGCTAGCTGTTAACAGAAGCATGGCTGCCAATAGTGCTAGTGATGTGCCCCCTGCAAAGCCAAAGACATGGGGGCCCATTTGTACTGAAAAAAAATCATCCCTCACACTAAGCATGCTTAGGGATTGCATTTGAGTCGATGCAATCAACTGGTTTTCCTTAGATAGAAAACTTTGAATCAATTTGACTATATGGTCTGGTGAACTGCAAAGTGCCTTGAGATGACGTGTTGTGAATTGGCACTATTTAAATAAACTGAATTGAATTAATCTGTAAACTTTTCTGATGAAACCATCCCTAAAGGAAAACATATTGGTTGCCTGATCATGCAGCAGGAATCCCTCTCATCATCAAGGATATTAAAACTCAGAGTTGATGGGAAGATGGTTGGAGAAAAATCAAGGAATATTGGAGATGAAGCTACTGGGGCTGAAATAGACTTTAAGCAGAGATTCACTCACAAGGTGTAACACAAAACTAAATATACAACGAGAGCCACAATAGAATAGTTAATTATATATGATTAAAGCATATTCCTATGCTGGAATGGTACACTCAAAATCCAGTAATAAATCTAACTTAGTATATTTAGAAACACTTATTAAAGAAACAGTGTAATTTGGAGCCACAATGGGCTCTAGAACTGTAACTTCCAGGTTTTAGTGCCTCTGAAAGAAACTGGCAAAAATTAACAGTATTCCCCATGTTTTGCAATCTGACTCTTACATCTGAGAACCAACTATATGTCTATTCTGATTGTTTGGTTTAAGGGGACCTTAGATTGCCATCAAGTGGCACTCTGGGTCACATGACTCATTCACCAACAGCGCTTATCCTCTCAAGTTACATAGTTGAGCATCGATATGTGTGATGTCAATTGCCCTGAAAAATCATATATTGTATCTCAAATGGAGCTGATATTTGGGTCAAAACTTGCTCCATTCAATCTGACTAAACCTGAACTTTTTTTTACGATCAAAAACCTTGCAGCTCTAAATGCAGCAAAAGATAATTGGAAAAGACTGGAAGCAGAATTAAAATGTAAGCAATTATTTTTATGATTCTATTATATGTTCAAATTCATGCAACTTTTTTTTTTTTTTAGCACATTACCTTTTGTTGGTCTATTACATGAAATCCACTAAATTCTCATGTCATATATCCACCTACAGATATAATTTAGATCTGAAAGATATGGGTAAACCTTTTTTTATCTTTAAATGCTTTCTAAAGAAGCTTCTGCTTTGGTAAAACAGAGAAAGTAGGCCCAATGAGGTGAATATAGCTACGTCTTTGTGTCTTTAAGCACCATAATAGCGAAGAAGAGCAGAAGGAAACCATTATTGACATCTTACGATTCTCAAAGTAGAATCTGTGGAAATCCATCCCCTCCACTAGGTTTCCCAAAGCCTCGGGTTCAAACGAAGTAAGTCCAGGGTCGCAGATCTTACTGAATAAAAAAAAAAAAAATCAAAACAAACAAAAACAGCAGGGCTTGTTTCAAATTCCAAATAATACAACTAATGCACAACATAAAAAAGGCATACAACTCACGCGTATGCATCAAAGTCTCCATTGTTGATGGCCTCGATCAGCTGTTCAGTGATCTTGATGATTTCTTGTTTGCGTGCTGCAAAGAACAGATGGAAGATGTGTTCATTAAAAATAACCAAACAGGAGCTGGACTGGTGGAGAGAAGTTAGCCTGACAAATGAAATACAACCAAACACATCCTCTGGTAAAGGCAGCCATGACTCCATGGAAGGCAGAATAAATCAGATCATAGACAGTTTGTTTCATAGAATCAAGAAAAAAACAACTCAAACAAGAGCAAACCTCACCAGCTTCTAGATGTTGATCCTGAAGAGCGTACTTTATTTAGTGAGCACACAGACACACTTCTCCAACATCTCCACAAGGAATGTCAACTTTTTCATTTGGTGACGAGTCAAACCCACCAGCCAAAACACAGATGCATCTACAGTTAGATAACCTACCTGCAGAGCAGCAGCGAGGTTTAATAGCACAAAGCAAACCAGCTATATTTAGATCAACAGGATGTACTCTACCCTGAAGAACATGCTTCTGTTCATCCAGAGAACACGCAACCCCACGCTGAAGTCGTTAGGTCAGGTCTCCTGGCTGGCTACCATGCAGCAACACGGGCGGCGTTGGGCTTAGTACTCACTCTGGGAGGATGATAAGGAAGGACTGGAGGGGTGGTGAGGGGGAGGTGGAGGAGTGGTGTGTGAAGGTGGAGGGGCTGGCTTGGTGCTGGGAGCTGTGTCGCCTTCAGGTGCAGCGGGCGGCGGCGCCCTGCGAACACTGCTAACCAAGTCTGTGAGCCGAGACACTGAGGGGGGGGCGGTCCAGGGTGGATGAATATAAAACAGATTAGAAACAATAAATTTGGAGGAAAACAGTAAAAAAGAGGAGAGAAATGAAGCAATGGGCAGATTTCATTATGATTTTATTATATCATAAAATATCCAATTAGTTTTTGTTGTAAACTGATTCTTCATTTACTAACAATGAGTCTTCCAAATACTAATTATTGGTTACAATGAAATTTGCATTTATTTGTCCTATATTTATATTGTTTTTAATACAAAAAAAGATGAATTTGATGCCATTTATGAAGAGATTAGAGAGCCCTTTAGAGGCAGAAACTTCACATGTAAACTGAAGAACATTTTTTAATATCGATACGTTTTTTGTAGCATTTTTTGAGGATCGAGATGATCAATAACAGTTGCTTTTTTTCTGTTTTGCTTTCGAAATGAACAGGATGTAGCTGATGTAATAAAAGTCCCATTTATTTCATATAAAGGGGAAATACATCCAAAATGAGGATATTTAAAGTTCCTTTTTCATCTTTTTTTATGTTTCTCTTACTGTAACTAATCCTGAGTTGATCATCTTTTTCAATATTTTGGGATTTCTTCTTGTTTTTTTTATCAAAGAGCTGTGTTTTTCCACTTAGTTCTTGTTTTTTTGCTCCTTTTTGGGTTTAACTATAATTCTTTAGTTATTCTTTTCATATACTGTCAAATTAGACCAGGTTTCTTCCTCTCAGAACTGCATTGAGCACCACTGTAGCATTTGTTACATTTTATTTGGAATTTGTTATTTTCTTTTTAAGCTGTAGAAAATAATTTCACAGCAGCAGAGTCTGTTGTCCTTTTATAGGACATATCAGGACTGTCTTTCCTAGATTCCCATTTTTGCATCCTTTATGACCCTGTTCAGTAATCTGTCCAAGCTTCTCATTATGCAGGATCTTGGCACGGTATCAGAGGAAAAGCAGATGCCAGCTGATTAAATACAGCCCTCATTTAGAGGTCATTTACTGGTGAGTCTGGTTTGGCTTCTGCCCACTTACTCTGCATTGGGACAGCGGGGGTGTGTGGAGGGGAGGGGGCGGAGAGGGCAGCGGGAGGCGGAGTGCTGGATCTACCTTCTCCGTCGGTAATGGGCCCTGAGCCCCTACGCACAGAGCCCAGCAGGTCAGCGAACTTCGCAGCAGCTGAGTTTGGGAAGGGAGGAACATCCATGGTAACCCAAAATATTGGCAAACTTCCTCATTGTGAGCAGTTATTATTACCTTAAAATGTACAGAAAAATAACAGTAACACCGAACTAGAATTAAGGAGCACTAATGTTATTTTATTTACATCCATACGGTGGAGCCAAAGAGATATTCTTTGAAAAGAAGGGTTGACTGCAGAAAATGTAAGAAATTTGAAGCATTTTATTTTTCTATTCCATTCTCAATGCTGTTAGTAAATGAGTCAAATATAAAGATGCAGCTGACGTCCCTCTGCAGAACTCAGGGAGCCTCTAGGATTTAGTTTTGCTCAACAGCAGCAGATGAATGTTTTAATACATGCAAGGGCCAAATGGGAAACACAATTCCAAAAATAAAAGAACACATTTGCCAGCCTCTGGTAGGATGTATGGATGTTTGCATGTTACAGGCTGAAATTGGCCGACCATGCTGACTTACAGTGCACAGCTGCTGAGGAGCCCTGAGTGCTATCAGGCTGGGAACTTGTGCTGGACTGCGCCTTAAGTGAGCTGTTGTCTAAGCTCTTTCCTGACAACATGCACACACACACACAAATGAGACCAAACACAATTAAATCCAGATGGATATGTTCCACCAGAGAAACAACAGAATTGTGAAATAATGAAAGGAGTGGCAAGATGACACAAGGGGGGCTTGTAAAAATGTGCGAACTGAGAAATTAAAGCAACTCTTTATTTGAAGCCACAAAAGAGATCATTATCTCAGTTAATGACTCAGTTTCAGCCAGATTTACAGCTAGGGCTGCTGCATGTAGAGTGTTACTGCGATTCTCAGCAGAGAGCAAAAGATCGAAGACGACAGCAGGGATGGCAGCAATAACGAGGGCTTATTGTTTGACTGTCTAATCAGCTGGAATGCAGTGATTTTTGTCTCGGTACGACCACAAACTGGAACGCATATTATACTTTCATGTGACAGAACACGTCAAGGTGGTATGTAAATGTGAAATGGAAGAAGAAAACATGTTTAATAAAAATATAGCACGTTTTTTGTTTGTTTTTCATTTAGTATGGTAGTGCCAAATAATCAATAATCTTGCCTTCAAATGTCACCTCATGGAAATGGAGTCCACCTAAATGTAAATCAATCTCAGTTTAAATCATGGCTGATCTGCAACGACCTCTATGAGGTCAAGAACAAGATAAGCATCAATCAGAGAAGCAGCCAAGTGGGGCGTCCTAACTCTGGAGTAGCTCAACAGATCTGTAGCTCAGGTGGAAAAAATTATTATTATTAGTTGTTGACATGACAAAATCTGACCTTAGAGGGTGACTTCAAGAGAGAAAACTTGTCAGACTTGAAGGAGCGGATCTTAAAACCAGGCAAAACTGTAAGAAAACCTAATGAAGATGCAAGACAGATGTGGAAATACAACACACCACTGGAGACGGAAAAGAAGACAGCCCTGCATGTTTAAGATGCAACTGGCTGTAATACATCCGACTGCATGACCTCCTCTTTAACCATCGAGTGCAGCGGAAGCCTGTTAAGCATTCCTTCAGTTGTGTGGCAGCTTACAGAGGTTGAGAAACACCAGTCTAGATAAAAGGGAGTTCATGCTGGAAATCCCTGGTCCAGGGGTCTGCAACCTTTAGAAATTAAAGCGCCATTTTACCCCGAGTCTGGCTAAGAAAAGGTTGTTAGAGCCAAAAATATTACATGAACTTTAAATAAAGACAAACTTTTTTAGATATATATCTGGCAAAGGAAATTTGTCGGATTTCAAACAATCAATATTTTATTTGTGTTTTGGTTGTTTAAAATAAGGAAAAACATGAAAAGTTTCACATTCTGTTGTCAAAATTCAATTCAAATATTATTTTTAAAACCCACTATAGCCTCCATGACTGGTATTTCTTATTATAGGACATTAGTTTGTTGTTAATATAATTTTAGCCAATGTTAAGAGACGTTGCAGGGGGTCTAAACAACCACATGTGGCACTGGAGCTGCAGGATGCTGCTCTAGTCAAAGATTAAACCTAAATCCAATTGAGAATCTTTAGCAAGACGTGCAAACTGCTGTTAACTGATGATCTCCTTCTCATTATCTGAAGCTATCTAGACAAAAAAAAACTTTCCAGATATGCAAAAGTGGTAGAAACAAACCCCAAAGACATGTTGCTGCAACTGCAACAAACTATGAAGAATTGTCTTAGAAAAGGTGCATACAAGTTTACATTACACCATAAACACTTTTTAAAATTTTTATTGATGATACAAAACTTCATAGCAATGTTGTCATAAACTAAGAAGATTGAAGGAGTAGGACTGATATGTTTACAGCGTTTTAATGGGTCTTAAGTACATGACTTTGTTTTAAAGAAAGAAGGAAATAAACCACACACAGGTTGGGATGGGTTTGGCTGGCTCCCACAAGGCTAATTAACAAAACTTCATGTACGAAAGTTTCACATAAAGATTCACACTCTAAAATCTCATAAGAGCAAGATTAACATCAGACAAAACAGTGAGCAGAAACATCAATGTGCACAAAGCTTGGCTTAGAGAGGACTTAAACAAACCAGCAAATAATGGTAAACTTAATAATATACCTCAAAAAATAACCAGTAAGCTGAAAGAGATTTGTTGCAAAAAGCAGAAGAGTACAGTATAGGTCCACATCCTCCAACAGCCAATGTGGGTGTTGGATTACAAAGCAGCTGTCCAACACCAGCCTGACAAGACCCTACAAAGACCAAGAAGGCACAAACTGTTCCAGACAAACACGACTGCCCCCTTCCTCCCACACTCACCTAGCTTCTCCGGCTTTCTGTGCTCCGTCAACCCTGTTTAATTCTTAAGATCCATAAAAGTGCCATGTGAGACAAATGCCTACCAGGGGTGGCGCTAGCGAAGCGGTGTTTGTTCCCAATGCCACCTCTCTGGGCAGTTCATTTCTGTTTCCTGCCACCAAAGCTAAATTTAGGTGGCCTGCCCCCTTTTTTTTAGCTTTTAAGCCCCTGCCAAAAGGTGCTCCAGCCATGCCCAAGCTTCCCACAGGGGTGTGGTGGTAGGATTCTTTTTGGATCGGGCTGGGCGTTTAGGACTACAAAATATTTCAACGATTCAACAGCATGTGCTGTAAAGTGGGCAAAAGAGCCACTGAATAAAATGTTCCTCTCCATTTAAATGTTTTTGATATTTTAATATTATGTTTTCCACATATATAGAAAAAAAAAATGTGTCTGAAACATGAAGCCAAAAGGGCAAAGGGCGCCATATGGTTGATCACTACAATGACAGCTTTCAATTAATAAATGCAATTGTTTTATTCATTTCACCCCCTCATTTATCAATACAACACTAATAATCTGATATGACTACAAGGAAAGTGAATACTTCAACGTACCTTCCCTTATTTAAATTTTATTTATTTATTTTTTACTTTTGTGATTAACCAAATGTTTCCATTTACCTTTTACTTTGCTGGTACACCTGATTTCCCCACTGTTGAATAATTAAATAAATTTTCACATAGATCTTAGTCTATTCTATTTTATCTCATTTCATTGTATTCTACATTCACGAAAAGTATTGATAGCACTGAGGATTAATCTGGTATGTGAGACAGCATGCAGAATGTGAATGCAATGGAGCAGATATGTGTCAACTCTTCTTCTGATATTTTTGTCCTTGCTTTAAAGATTTCACCGTTGTCCCAAATTGGCTGCACAGTTAAAACATTTTTTGATTAACGATTTTTGCTGGTTATGTTGGCATGAGGTTGGCTTCTGATGCCTTGTGATATTTTGGGGATGCTTAGACGTGGTGTAGCTGGCCAAGTTAGCCTTGTGAAGTTTCATAGATGGTGGGAGGTTTTGTGTCGATTACATTTGAACAAGAATAATTTGAGAAAATGTAAACAATTACTAATGTTTTAGTCTATTACAGCTTATCTTATATAAAAATAAAGCAGAAGGACAATTTGAAATACCTTAAAATGAGGTGTTACATTTGCTACATTTGGTTGCTAAACTACCTGGAAATAATAGTTTTAGTGTTTAAAAACACTGAGCAGTGCAGTAACTTTAAGCAGACATCTTTCACCCAGAATGTCAGCATTAAAAAAAGCTGCTAAACTAATACACTTCTGCTTCTGTTCAACTTCATAGAATTTATTTTTTTCAAACTCCAGTTCAGCTTTCATGCCGTTCTTAGCTGTGGTTGCTAGGGAATTCAAAAACCTCTAAAAAAAGAGGAAGAGGAGGTGGAAGTGCACATTCTGTTCTGTGCTTGACACTGAAATAAAGCATTCATGACCCCATTTAGACACATTGCAGTCAGGTAAGATGGTAAAATGGGGCTTTTTACTGTGCTGAACTCCTTCCAGAAGACAGAAAACTTGACACGTTCTCAAAGGGGGATAAAAAAGGCTTGAAACAGTGTGGAGGGATGTGCTGAAATGTGTGCCAGCTGAATATTCCAACGGACACAACTCAGGATAATAGATTCAACTGAAAACGTTTGAGAAGAGCCACTATATTGCCGTACAAGACATTTCACACCCTCCACTCGCAGCTCTCAGGCGCACCGCCACTCTCACAGCAGGTGTCAAAATGCATCATGAGGCAATGGAATCTGGCTCCACCAGGGGTCAGTAAAATGTTAGCTTTCAGCTGATTTAAAGCAGAGCAAAAAATATTAGGGAAATACTTATTGTGAAAAAATAAATAAAATAAAAAACATATAAAAAAATTTATTTTCAAGAAGAAGTAGTCCCCTTGATTTAAAAATCAGCACATAAACAGGAAGGTTCAGTCTCAATAGACTTTATCAGTGGTTCTAACAAAATATACACTCCATATCTAAAGGCTGAAATCCACAGTTGACTAAAAATCAAATAATTTGAGCCCTTAGTGAGTCCAGAGGCAGACTTTGAATGCTTAAAAAATGCACAAACACTGCAAAAGTAGAAAAAGGAAGGACAAAACTGGACCAATTAGTTGATGGATGATGAAAGGACAAACAAATGGATGGATAAACCAGTTGACAAATAGCTGGATGGAGTAAACAATGGGTAGAAGGACAAATGATTTGATAGACGGATGAAAGTATGGGTACAAAATCGACACTTCACTAAGTGGATGCATATCGGGCTGCAACTAACAATTATTTTGCAAATTGATTAATCTGTCGGCTATTTTTCCAAATAATCGGTTATTAATCAGATAGCCAAAGGTTCCTTAAGGAAGACTTTTTATGAAATTGAACCAGGGGAAAATAAAAACGTTTTCCACTTGAGGAGTTCTGGGTTGAGCATATTGACAGCCATTTTTTTATATCTCAAATGCAATTTTTTTTACAGTCCTGATATAATTACTACTCTAAGTTGGTTGCTCTGTCAGCTAAAATCATGGTTTAGAGTCTCTATTCTCCAGTTAATGATTAACTGATTACTAAATTAGTTGATGATCATTTCAATAATCGATTAATCTGATTAATTGTTTCAGCCCTTGATGCATGTATGGAATGGTGAAAGGATGAAGATAGATGGATACAAACTCTAAGAAATCCTTTTAACGGGTGGTAAATGCAATTGATGCAAATCAGTGAATAAAAATCTTTACATATTAAATAGCAAATTCACTACAATATACTGGGTAATTCCAATCTTTTCTTAAGAGTAGAAAATGCAACATAAACAAAATGTTGGAATGTGGAAGGAAGTAACTCTCTGCTAAACTATTCAGAACATTAAAACCATGTGACAAGCAAACAGTGTGATGTTCAAAATAAGTTCCTTAAGTCTATCTGTTTATAAACCATAATTATGTTTTCTGTTTCAAAAAGTCAGAATTATCTAAGACTTACTGTGCAGCCATGTGAGGTACAGAGTGTGAGAAACTGTTGAAAAGTCACGAAAGCATCTTAGATGGTGGTGCAGTTTGACACGAAGACCCCAATTGAGACTTTGACCCCAATCAGAGTTTGCGTTGACAATATTGAATTTGTAGTGTTGAGTAGACTTTGTTTTACTCATTGTAAAGATGTGTAACTCAAACAAATTGAGTGCAAATTGTTACCCCTGCATTTTCTGTTGAATTTGATAGGTTTTGTTATTTAGAGTGAAGAATAAATGGTGGATGGATACGTAGAGTGACACATGGAAGGTGAATAAACAGGTGCATGTATGGATGGATGCCGGACTGAATGATGAATGGATTCTTCACAAACACATGAATGGAGGAACGTACAGATGAAGATGTATGGAGGGTAATCTAGACGCCAACAGTAAAGTCTGCAGATACCTTTCAAAACTCTGAAGATTGTTCTAAACAAAAGATGCTCAGAGAAAAACACAGCAAAAGGTAAACAGTATAGTTTCAAGGCTCCACAGATTTTCAGAGAAAGTAATCACCAAGTAACCAGTTTCACAGAGACTTTCTTTACCAAAAAGTGTCAGAAACAAAAGCCTATTTTTCTTAAGGAAAGGGTAAATCTAAAAATAGCTTCCAGTCAAGAAAACAAAAGCATTTTCTTCTTATTTCTTCTGCATTTTAAAACATTGAGTCTGTCTGATGTGATATCCATTACCTAAGCCTGCAGATAAACAAGAGGCTGCCTTTACAAACTGCTTTATGGAGACATCAAATATGGCTTGAAAGATATCCTACAGTTTTATTGTTTTTCAACAGCAGTAAACAGATTTCTTCTGATTGGTGTCTTTGTAGCCTTACCTTTCACATCCTCATCTTCCACAGTGGTGTTGCTGCTATCTGATGATTCCTGGAGATGGAAACAAACCAAACAATCATGTTTTGCTTTAGCACAGCAGGGGATTCAGATTATGCAGGGAACAGATGAAGAAGCACATCACGAGAGGGGTAAACAAGGTAAATCAGCACAGGCGGAACACCAGCCAGTAGGGGGCACACCCTATCATGCTGTATCATGTTTCCAAAAACAACAACATCTGACAACATTTTACACATAGACACAAATCATTGAGAAATCCTTTAGTGGAAACCCAAGAAACCACACATTAGTCAGAACCATCGATAAACTGAGCAGTCAGACTAAATCTGCCTGACTTTTAAACTTTAACACTTCAGGCTTACATCTAGATTTTTAGCGTTTTTTTTCTTTCAGGAACTTTAAAACCATTCACCAGAGGAGCCTTTTCCACCTTTAACAAAAAAAAAAAAAAATCAAAACAGAAGCAGAAAAGCCTTTTACAGGAAGATCGACCGTATTCCTGGGCAGAGCAGCACAGCTCAGATATATTTATCCACCTGTCTGCCTCTCTGTCACTCCTTTCGCCAGAGGAGGAGTTTCTGATTTTCAATTAGCAGATTAATTGTGTCTAAATTCCCCTGCACGTAGAGAGGTGCAGAGAGACTGGATGACCTGATTAGTGAGTGTACACGTGCAACAGCAGCTTCAAAAGCACTAATGTGCTTTTTTATAGCTCTTTAAAGAGCAGCTGGTGACCTAAGCAGAGAGGAAAAGAGCAAGGAGGAAGTTGAACTGCATTTCTGTTCCTAATATGAGGGGGAGAACACTAACATTTAATAAGCTCTTAATATCTGATCCCACTTTTCTTTGTATCTTTGCACATTTTGTCATTTTTTTTTACATGCATATTTATAATACAGTTTATCAGCCATCTAATCAGTTAGCGTATTAGGATCCTGAGATGTTGAACTGATAATAACATTAATAAATAACTATACTTTTGGTCTGAAAGGTCCCGAACTGCAAAGATCAACTGAATGAGTTGATCTACCTGAAACAAGATTGGTGTAAAATGATATGGGTTTAAATATACACTATATTGCCAAAAGTATTTGCTCACCCATCCAAATTATTGGAATCAGGTGTTCCAATCACTTCCATGGCCACAGGTGTATAAATTCAAGCACCTAGGCATGCAGACTGTTTTTACAAACATTTGTGAAAGAATGGGTCGCTCTCAGGAGCTCAGTGAATTCCAGCGTGGAACTGTGATAGGATGCCACCTGTGCAACAAATCCAGTCGTGAAATTTCCTCGCTCCTAAATATTCCACAGTCAACTGTCAGCTGTATTATAAGAAAATGGAAGTGTTTGGGAACGACAGCAACTCAGCCACGAAGTGGTAGGCCACGTAAACTGACGGAGCGGGGTCAGCGGATGCTGACGCGCATAGTGCGAAGAGGTCGCCAACTTTCTGCAGAGTCAATCACTACAGACCTCCAAACTTCATGTGGCCTTCAGATTAGCTCAAGAACAGTGCGCAGAGAGCTTCATGGAATGGGTTTCCATGGTCGAGCAGCTGCATCCAAGCCATACATCACCAAGTGCAATGCAAAGCGTCGGATGCGGTGGTGTAAAGCACGCCGCCACTGGACTCTAGAGCAGTGGAGACGCGTTCTCTGGAGTGAAGAATCGCGCTTCTCCATCTGGCAATCTGATGGACGGGTCTGGGTTTGGCGGTTGCCAGGAGAACGGTACTTGTCTGACTGCATTGTGCCAAGTGTAAAGTTTGGTGGAGGGGGGATTATGGTGTGGGGTTGTTTTTCAGGAGCTGGGCTTGGCCCCTTAGTTCCAGTGAAAGGAACTCTGAATGCTTCAGCATACCAAGACATTTTGGACAATTCCATGCTCCCAACTTTGTGGGAACAGTTTGGAGCTGGCCCCTTCCTCTTCCAACATGACTGTGCACCAGTGCACAAAGCAAGGTCCATAAAGACATGGATGACAGAGTCTGGTGTGGATGAACTTGACTGGCCTGCACAGAGTCCTGACCTCAACCCGATAGAACACCTTTGGGATGAATTAGAGCGGAGACTGAGAGCCAGGCCTTCTCGTCCAACATCAGTGTGCGACCTCACAAATGCGCTTCTGGAAGAATGGTCAAAAATTCCCATAAACACACTCCTAAACCTTGTGGACAGCCTTCCCAGAAGAGTTGAAGCTGTTCTAGCTGCAAAGGGTGGACCGACGTCATATTGAACCCTATGGATTAGGAACGGGATGTCACTTAAGCTCATATGTGAGTCAAGGCAGGTGAGCAAATACTTTTGGCAATATAGTGTATATTGAATATATTTGTTGTCGACTAATAACAAATCTAAAAAAAAAGCTTGTTAAAACACACCAGAAAACTCAATCATTGATTGAAAGAATTGTTTCTGCAAACTCATGCAAAATTTGCCAGTACATACTATGCAAAAAAAATGTACTATTTACATCAGCAGATCTACAAATCTACAAACTTATTTACCAGCATTCCAGCCCTTTCATTTTAAACAACTTAAGAAATGAAAAATTGGTTGGTATAAAAAAAAAGGCTTAGAGATCAGAAAATCTGTAAAGGTTTTGCTCTTTAATGTTATATCTAATTGCTAATTTAACTACTAGATCTAATCATTTGCTCTTCCTCTGATGGATGACTTTTTAACCAAGATGCATCATCTAATTAACCGAATATGACTGCATTATAACTGGACTGAAAGCTGTAGCTGTAATCTGAGTAAAGAGCTGGACTAATCTGAACACAATATGGACCAAAGTGCACTCTAGAGAAAAGGATATATATGAGCCATTTTTCTTTTAAAGTATTTTCAAATAACTTTTAATTGGAATCTGTGATTAAAAAGACTAAATGAATAATTTTTTTTTTCTCCAAACTATTTCATTTGTGAGATTCTATTTCTCACAAATAAATTCATGCTGAGGAAATCATTTAAAATATTTCACTATTTGAAATATCAATTTTCAGATAAAAGTATTTTCTATCATCTCCAAGGTGAATATTTTGTTGTCGGCAGCTTTACAAAAGACATCTGAACATTTTGCCACAAAATGCTGTAATTAGGATCAATTTGGACACAATATTTTTGTTGGTAGAAACTGTTGCATTGGGACTAAACGTATAAAATATATCTCTTATTCTAAATCATGATGCACTGAGATTTCCAGATTACAAATCAATAATGAACTTATGCAAAGCTATCAGATCGACCAAACACCTCCACAATCAGGTTTTAGGTTCTTTTTTATGTTACTTTTTGTTTTATTTGCAGCTGCAGGTTTACAATTTGATAAATAATAACTGCTCTTCTCCACATTTACAAAAAATAAAAGAATAAACATCAGTCCATATTTGTTCCAAATAAAAACAGGTCCACCTGAACTGGTGTAATCGTTATCCAGAAGTTACTTAAGGTAAAGAATTAGATTTTAAAAGTTAATCTATATCTACTTTTCTCCAAACACAGAGGGAAGTATTTCAAGTTTTTGTAACAGTATATTTTCCCCATTATGTCTGTGGAGACAGAAGGAGAACACAAGTTGATTTTACTGTTGGTGAGCATATACACTAGAGAGTCATGTTATTTGAATAGTATTGATCCAATAAGCTTTATCATGTCCAAAGGCAGGCAAACTGTCTACCAGGAAATGTTAGATGGCCTTGTTCGTCCCAAATGTGAGAGTCTAGCAGTGACTCCCTACACTGTCTAGTAACAATAGCTGCTTTAATAAGTGTGGTATCAAATTGGCCATTAAGCTATGGGGTAAATTCAAGAAGAAAATGAGAGACAACCGAGCCAAGGATACATATGGGTGGTAGCAACCTTGGCTCATTAATATCTACAGCCAGAGAACACTGATGCATAAAACATGCAAAAACGCACTGATTAAGTACTTAGAGCATATATAGACAACCTTTCTTAATAATTTTTTTTCATTAGTCAGTTATTTTCTGAGAGATGACATTTAGTGTTCTAATTATTTGCCATTAAGCAAAAAAAAAAAAAAAAAAAAAATTTGTTAAATAAATACTTTAGATACAGTTGGTATGGAAAGTATTCAGACTCCATTACCGGTACATTTTTCACCATTTCTTTCATTTCAGCCATTTAAGAAACCCACAAAGGTCATTTTATTTCTTATTTATGCACACTCAGCGTTCCATCTTGACTGAAAAAAAAAACAAAAAATTAAGAAATTTGTGCTCGGACACAGTAAAGAGGAACTCTTCCTAGTCCTGGACGGCCAGGTCTAAGAAGAGTTCTGGTCGTCCCAAACTTCTTCCATTTTACGACTATGTAGCCCACTGTGTTCTTAGGAACCTTGACTGCTGCAGAAATCCTTTTATAACCTTGGACAGGTCTGAGCTTTGTCACAATTCCATCTCTGTGCTTCTTGGGCAGCTCCTTTGTCCTCATGATTCTCATTTGCTCTGACATGCACTTCTTCTTCCTTTTCTTTTCTATTATGGCAGCTCACAAGCAGCTTTAAGGTGCCTCCGACATGCACTGTGAGCTGTAAGGTCTTATATAGACAGGTGTATGCCTTTCCTGATCAAGTCCAACCAGTTTAATTAAACACCCCAATGCAGGAACGTATCCATCTCAAGGAGGATCAGAAGAAAAGGACAGCATGTGAGATAAATAAGAGTGTCACAACAAAGGGTCTGAATACTTCTGACCAATTGATATTTCAGTTTTTATTTTTTCATTTTTAATAAATTTCTCAAGATGGGGTGTTGAGTGTACATTAATGAGAATTAAAATGAACTTTTTTGATTTAAGCAAATGGCTACAATTTAAAATTTAGAGGGGTCTGAATACTTTCTGTACCCACTGTACATTACCATGTGTGTAATAATGATATAAATAAACACTCATTGAACTGGAGTACAGAAATACGTCTTTTAATCTAATTCTATTACATTTTTATGCACCTGTATGCAAGGAACATGTCTATTATAAACAATGAATAAGCAGAACTTCTTTAAAAAGGCGATTACAAGAGCAGGTCTTTCTGCCGTTTAATTGTTGACCTCAAAAACTGGCTCGTAACAAATATACATGCAGAGGTAACGCACATTTGTTAGCCTACTTAAAACGATATCTGAGGAGTTCAACATGTCACAAACACATGAATACAACACCACACGCCACGCATTGTTACTCTCACATGGATGTTGGGAAAATGTAGTAAGGATAGAAGGAAAAGGAAGAGGAGCAGAATGAGAGAAAGGGATGAGGGGTAAGAACGGGATGTGGGAATGAAGAATACCTTTGTCCCGTCCACCGGATTATGGATGACAGTTGTCTGAGGTTCCTAGAAGAGTATAGGGGGGAAGTTGGAAGAAGATGGAGGAAAAGTGACAGAGAAAGAAAGAACAGAATTTGAAGTAAAATGCAGAAAGAAATGGACAGAGTAAAGAAAAAGAAGAGACAAGAATGTTGGATGAACAGAAAGTGCTTGGAAACACTGATGGGAGAGATGGGGGTAGAACCCTCCAACAAAGCGACAGAGTGGGTGGATTAGCTGAAAACTGTAATTTGGAGTCAGCTCAGTTTCTTGCAGACAAGCAACCAAAGAACAGTGACACTAATCCAACCAAATAGTGTAAAATTAACACATCAAACAAATTCTTTCCCTCAAAGAAGAACTATGCCAAAAAAGAAAGCAGATGTCCTCACAACACACCAACTGTGTTCTTTTAAACCCAAACTTAGCCTGACTCTGCTGTATGGGAGCAATATCTTATTTCTGGACAAGCCACCTGTGCATGACTGATTTTGAAGTACCCTACATGCTCTCAGAAGCACAAACACTGAATCATGTGGATTGCAAATAAATAAAATCAGAAGAATCTGCCAGCTGATATATGATGCATAAAGTTTACTATGATTGATGGTTGGCAAATCCTGCACAAAAACATGAACGAACTCTCAGGATAAAAAGAGGTCAAGCTCTTCTACGATCCAGTATAGACTGAGATGATAAACCATCCCTTCAATGAGTCGTGTCTTTACTGAGACAAGATGCTACAACTTGAACCCCATTGTACCATTATAAACAGTAATTTAGCATCTTTATGTAATGATCTAACACTTGAATCCAGAGCTTTGTCCATGGCACCTTTCAAACACCGTTTCTGACTTTTGTGACCTCCAGTGCAACACTTTCTCTTCATATTTCTGCAGTCTCTGATCCCTGATAACTCAAGTTGACATACAGTAAATCAGTTCCCATCAGCACGCTCCATATTCTCAACAGCACTTCTCTCCCTGCAGGAAGTGACACCTCTGTGATGACCAATCATTAGCTGTCTCTCTATATCTCTCTGATGCTCCCGTTGTTGCCTTGGCAACTGTCTCCTAGGGAAACAGGCACTGAAGGAAACTCAGATGATGATGTATGAGAACAAAGCACCTGGGGTGTGCACATCAGGTGGGTGTGACTGCTGATGGTGAAAGCGAGCAGCATTGACTTCACTTTGGTTCAATTAAACAGATATACTGTATTTTAGTGTGATTGGAGAGTTAATAACCAGAATTAGTTTGAAGATATTCCTGTATTTTCTAATTCCTTTATTTAAGACAACAGCTTACAAGTCAGATGATTATGGTTATGGAATTGAAGGCAGTCTGCTTATGGGCTATAAGGAATAAGTTAGCACAGCTAAAAATTAAACACTAATGGCAGCATAAAATGGATCCCAGCCACCCTCGATTCCCTTCAAGGATCATTGAATCTGGCTGTTCCACAAACAGCTTCAATGCACATTAAAAAGGGTCCTTAGCACATACATGTAAATTTTCCATTAACCACTCTTCACATGAGCCAAACAGTGCATAAGTGAACTTTACAACCTCAGTCATGAGGAACACACTGTAGGCATGCCTGGTTTAGAAGCACGCTCATTTAGCTGCACGTGTCGCTTTTTACTCCATGGAGTTGAAGGTGTAATAGATTATTATTACATGCTCAGCTGTGATACATGTCACAGTTAGTGAGATCATGAGAGTGGCATCTGCAGCTACATTTACACCCATTTATAACTGTGGTCCCAGGGTATGAGTGAATATACAGAGGAAAGGATGTATGGTAGATCTCAAAAGTATAGAGAGAAGATTTTTCTATAAGTAGAGTTTTAATACATATCTATAATGCAAACAATTTTTGGTGTGATTTGCGAGAACTTAATTTTGCAAAATATTCTGTTCTCTCAGGCTTGTAGGGCAGGCAAGGCAAACTGCTTTTTAACATTTCAAAGAAAACTGATTGATGCATGTTTATAATTTCCATTTTAAAGGAAGCTGTATTTATAATCCGACAGTTTCACATGAATATTTAATCTGACATTGGTATAGAAAAAACTAAACATGAAAACCAAATGCTGACATACATTACTCAGGAAAACAAAGTTTTTGCGTGGTTTTGAAAAAAGAAAACAAATGCTTGTTCTAGCATTCCAAAAAGGTGAAAAAAACAACAACTTTGTTTCCAAGTTTGAAGACGTTTCGCTTCCCATCCAGGAAGCTATTTCAATTTTAAAATGTCAGAAATAGCATTGAGTTGCTTTATACAGTAGCCAAACAAAGCATTTTTTGCTTACACAACATGCAAATTGAAACGGAGGAATGGGTCCACCCCTTTGGAACGGGGAGAATTAAGTTCTCCCAAATCACACCAACATGTGCATGTTGTCTAAGCAAAAACAAGGCTTTGTTGGGCTACTGTATAAAGCAACTCAACGTTATTTCAGACATTTCGAATTGAAAAAGATTCCAGGATGGGAAGTGAAACATCTTCAAACTCTTCAAAGAGTCAAGGAGTTTGTTTTTTTAACCTTTTTGGAATGACTAAGACCAGGATGACTGATGATCTTCACCAACTATTCCTAGCATAGATAAAAAAAAAAAATGCAACTTCTTCACTTTATATTTTTAGGTTTGTTCTTTATTCAAATTACACATTATCCCTGGCTGTAGCTACAGTAATTGTATTTCAACCTGTTTATTCTCCCTCTATAAAGTAGAGCAGTTGAGAATATGTATCCCAGTAACCAAAGTCTGTCAGAAGGAACTGAACATATTTTTTCTCATAGGTTTTTAAAACTATAATAACCAGGCATGGGATAGTAAATGCTAAAAATGTAGGTTGTAAAAAGTCTGTATTAAAACTGATTAAAGTTTCCCTCCTAATGTTCATTTTTTAAGCTATATTAATAATATACCAGGGAAAGTACTACAATAGCTTGAGTTTTAACTAAATCTATTTTTCTACAACTTACTATTTAAGATGGCTGTGACTCCAAATATGATGACGTTGCTTTTGAATAGTAAAACTCAATTTATTCCCTCTCAAGATAAGGAAATCCAAAAGTACTTCCCCAAAGCCAATAATGCATGAAAATAAAGCAGATGTAGAAAGATATGTTTTGAACTGGCTGTTAAAAGAGACAACAGTGCATTGATCTTGGGTCCAAAGGAAGTGAGTTCTGGATTCAGGCTTTGCTTTGGCTCCATCTTAGCATGAAGAAGCCAGGGACCTACCCAGGACACTATAGGGAGAAACTTTCCCTGACATGACCATGTTTCTGTCCATGGAAATCTCTCTGAAGTCAGTATAAGAATCTATCTGCCACCAAATATTGAGATTCATGGAAAAGTTTTTTTTTAACATACATGACTTAATATTATTCTACTTTTCAAGATCTTTTTTAGGATACTTAAACTGCTAGATGATCGGACCATTAAGGGAGATTAGGTTTGGGTTGAAAATGGTTGCTTATGATTAGCATTTTGGAAACTTCAAAGAAAAAGCTAAGTTTTTGTTGCACTTCTATATATTCCTCCAAGCATATAAACACACATGCTCCCATTTCAACCTTTCAAATTTGATGCCAACAGAACTGATCGTCTGAGGTGTTATTAGAGTGAAATGCATGAACCTTTGGGCTCACACGCCGGGGAGCAGTTCTCCAAAAAGACGAATTAGTTAAATCACAGTGACAGTCCCTGCAGGCGGTCGGCGTCCGATTCTTTTTAGAAACAAAGACGGGTCAAATGTCATCCCGACACAGAACCAACCTGGCTGCAAGTCACACAGCATCCCCACCTGTCACAGGGAAATATCTCCTGACACTACCTGCTGATTTAAAACCTAACCAGCGGCTGTGGCCAACACAGAACTCACCAAAGATTACCAACGACTGACGGATGCACAGAGAAGTTAACACAAACGAGTAGCAGTAGGGGGGAAGACACAGAGATTTTAAGGCACAAATATCACAAACACACAAGTGAAGGGAGGAAGGGAGGTAAATACCAGAGCAGGTAAAGGGATGTTTCCTTTGGGACTGGTGACTATGCTGTTTTTGGTGCTGTTTGTCTGGGGCTGTGCAGGAAATGAGAGGAAAAGGGAGGAGACACAACAGAGAGTGTTAACAACAGTAAGAGGGTCTGTCCATGCAGGTGTGTGCGTGTGTTCATTGCAGTAGTATGAACAGACTCCAAGAAATTTTGGAGTCTGCTTTTGGGAATTAGACATACTTCATATTCAGCTTAATCAATATCTCACTTTTTGAGGCTTTTTTAAAGCTGCTGCCTTTTCACCTCTTTTTTAGGTAAATAAGAGACTGGATTGAATTTTGGAAGTCATTTTTTTTCCTGTTTGTTTCAAACTTTTAAACAAAAAGGTTTTAATAACCAACCAGTTCTTTAGTGCACTTTTTTGGTGCAGATTTGGGATATATGACTTCATTGATAATTGGCTTTGGTAAATGCATAATGGTATATAAGAAGAATAAGTTTAAACTGGATCCTTAAGCTCTTTGCTTACAGGAATCGTTCATAAAGACACAAATGTTCCAATTCATTTAACTGAACCTTTGCAAAAATACCACAGATACAAAACAAAAAGCTAGACAGCTTGATTTAACCTTCATCAAAGGGATTACAAAGGAGCTACTTGCTAAAAACCTGTTAAAGGACAACGTGAAATGTTTCTTATGTCCTTTAACATCATGCTTTTTCTTACATGCATCTGGATGAAACCGTGCACCTGTCTCTCTATAGGCTTAAAGTCATGTATGCTGGTGTTTCCAAATAGTTTTTTATTTGGTGGGTATGTTAGTTAATAAAAAAATGCATGGTAAAAGCCAGTGAAAAAGCAGCAGAGCTGGAAATCAGATTATAGGAAGAACTACAAAGAGCCTGGGAAAGAAGTGACCAAGCCAGTTAAAATAGATTAGCATAAATTTGGGCTCCTTGGAAGACAGATAAGTCAAAAAAACTGGAACAGCATAATGCTATTTAATCCAATATCTATACCACAAATGATCCATTACTAGACAAAGGTCCTTCATACCATGAGCTATCTGTAAAAAACTGCATTAACTCAAATATGCCCTAGTTACATTTATCTTGGAGTGAATTTTAAGGATCTTTTTAAGTCTGCAGATTTTGATAATACATATAATCCTCAATGTGATTTTTTTCCCCTGGAAACTCTAAATAAAAGGTTGAACTTGTCTACACCTTTCATGTGAGATTGAGCAGATGCCATAAAATATTTGGGCTTTAACCCTCTCCAGGCAGATGTTGCAGATTTGCAACAGCTAAATTCCACTAAGCTAATTACTCCACATCCATATTTTAAGAGCTTTTGTTACTCAGAAGTACAACAGAAGGACTTAGTTGTGCATTTGCAGCAAACAGTTTCTCTCCAGCTCACCAGATAGCACTGCTGACTCACTTTCAACATGGCTGAGTCCTTGGTGTCACTGAAACAGATTTTCTAAGCATCGATTTCATGTAAGTATCACTAAAAATTCCAATATTTTGAAATCAATACTACATAAGATGTATCATGAATGTGTATAGATATCACACATGCCAATTAGTAGATTTTATCCCCTCTGGGTTTTTCGAGGCATCTCGATTTCGATGTTGTGGATTTGCAACATGTGCCCAAACATGTACCAGTGGATGCTACATGCTTTATCTACTAGTTTGCCTATATTTTGAGTAACAGTTTAACATAAACTGCCTTCTCAAGAGGTTTTGAGATGTCGGTGGAGAAAACGTTTGTGAAAAAGTTGTCTCTAATTTTGCGAGATAAATTTTTTTTTTTCGAATTTTGTTTTGTTAAAATTTAGTTTGAGACATTCAAATAAAGTTAACGTTCATATCAGATTCAGTCTTCAGTGTTAATTTACCACTCCGGGCCACTGTTGAAAATCTGTAACATCCCAGAATTCATTGCATGTGAAGGTCTCTCTAAAACAAAGTCTGAATTGTATATTACTAACCCATATGATCATTTTCTCCAAATATCAGATTTTTCCTGCAACTACAACTTAATTTGAGCCTGAGAGGGTTAAAAAACTAATTTTCCAAAAGTGCTAATAAATTGGAGGATGTTGCACGTTTCAGTTATCAGATTTATTCTAAAAGGTTTATTTAAGCTTATTTTCTAATGTCCATATAAAGAACTGGAACATAATCATATGTGAATGACCTCACAAGCATATCAAGATAAAAATAGCTGCATATCATATACAGTGTGGAGTCCAGAAAGTAAGAGGCTGCTACCGGGATAAACAGTGCAGATTATCTTTAATGTTATTCGTCAAAACACATCTGTTTATTGTAAGATGTGACATAGTGGGGGTGAGTGGTACTGGAGGAGATCATCTCATGGCCACCAATGATGCCCCCCCCCCTTTTTGGACTTGAATATCTGTTTTTAAAGCAAAAGATTAAATGCTGTTTAGAAAACGGCACATCAAAGGGGAGCCAGTCCTTTAGAGATCGGACTGATCATAGCGGTTTGGCTTCGAATCTCGATTAAACCTTTTCGGAAAAAACATCGACTGGAAATTGCTAAGTGGGGCAGAATACTGGGAGTGGAAGTGAATCATCAAAGTGAGTCACTTTTAGAAAGTCGGCTCCCATTACATAAAATCTTAAACATGCAAATCTGTTCCATCTCAGCAGTCCCAACTCATCGGTGTGAGGTCAAACGGGGTCACCGGTTGCTTAATGCCAAGGACTGTGTGATGTGGGAGTGAAGATTTTTGAAAAGGGAGAGAAAATCGTCAACTTGATTTAAAAAAGAAGGAGCAGTTTTATGAACAATCAGGAAAAAAATCGTTCTTTCAAGGTGGTCCTAGTATGTAAATTGAGGGATAAAAAGAATATTGTGCCTGTGTTAATGTGGTAGATTATGGCCTCTATATACCATTGAACTAACATACGTAGAAGAGGAGAGGATAGAAGGAGAGCACAGGTCAAAGAGGCAGAAAAAAACAACAACACAAAAACACTGAACAGCCAAGATAAAAACAAAACAAATCACATGCAGTAAACTCTAATCCAACCGTTCTCAAATATGTCCTCCTCTCACACAGACTTTCAATCATCCAAGCCCATCTTCATCTGTCAACCCAGACAGGATGAACGATTTCTCTTCAAGTCAACCAAGAGCGAGGAAGTTGATCATCTCCAGTGCTTGCACCATGACAGTAGGCCAAGACCTCCTTCATGATATAAAGCCTCCTAAATTTACTTTATTCATTATTCTCATATTCCGAACAAGACCACAGTATGATTCATTGAGAAGGTAGCAAACATTGTTGTTTAAAGTATACAGGATGAGGGATAAGGATGAAATCCAGACACCTTCCATGGTTGGTTTGCTGGGAAAGGGAATGTGGTGGAAAAGTTATGGAGATGGAAAAGAGGAGAGACTGACAAGTTGGAGACTAAAATACCTTTCAGATTTACTAAAACTACTTACTTGGTTTTAAATGTTGTTTGACTCAATTTTGTTAATTAACACAGAGAGATGTTATTCCTGAAGTTGTAGCAAGTGTATGCATGTAAAAGTGCATGTATAGTTGTGCATCGATTTAATCAGTCAGTCGATCGAGGGGCTTGGATTTTCTTTTGAGGGATCAGAGGATTTTTTTCCACCAATCTGATCTACCTCTGTAAATGTTAGAAAACCACCCATTGTAAAGGTCTTCAACTCTAGTTTTTACTTGAAAGCAGTTGTTTCAGCACTGATGAATGTTTTTTTAGTAAGATAACACTGAACTATCTAATAAGTGATCTTATAGGAATTGACCGTGTTAGTTATAAAAAGAAATCTGTTTGAGTCAAAATTGTAATGGCTTTTTGTAACCGGCCAGAAACCTGTAATCGGGGCACCCTTACTTGTATACACTAGAAATCCTTGCAGTCATTTTTTTCCTTACAAGTCCAATTCAAGCTTTTATTCCTTTATTAGACACATTTCAGTTTAAACAAAGTAAAACATCAACATACATTAACAGTTTGCCTACTGTTTACAAGACTCGGGTTCTGGTTCAGAGTTAAGTTTGTAGAGTTTGAATCCAAGTCAAATCTCGATTCTTATTATGTGTTAAGAAAGTAACTGGGCCTAAAACCTTACAGTAGTAGCCATTCAAAATGTCCCCACTTTCCTTGATGGGTCCTTGGCTGGTCCCTGTCTGTTCCATCCACAATTCCTTTTTTAAACATTAATCTTTGTACTAAACTATTCTTTCGGTCATGATTTGTGGAGATTAAGATCTAAATAGAAGCACCTTCTCCATGTAAATTAGTAAAAGGGTGGAGTCAAAGTAAAAAAAAAAAGCACGCCCAGGAGAAGGAGGGGGTCACTGCAGTGGCTGGAATTGGCTGCCATTCGGCTGGCGTTTGACTGGGAAGGGCCATTTTGAATGGCTGCTAATGTAAGTGCAAGTCTAGGCCAAGTCATGGGTCTCTACAATAGTAATACAAAAGTCTTTGCACCATTTAAGCAGGATTTTGAGTCCAAGTCTCAGATAGTAGTTCTGTCTATGTTATGTACGTCCTTTTTATATTTTAAGTATCTCTGAATTTGTATTTTTAAATCTTGATTTAAAACTTTTTATTTTAGAACCTGGTGCTTCATCTTGGAATAAATTAGTGAAGTACAATGATTGGGTTTAGTTGGGGGTTAATCCTAAACCGTCAACTAATCAAAATGCATCCAAAGGATTATCTTTTGGGACAATTTGCTTACAAAAGAGAGAACCTGCTGCCACCCAGAAGCACTGTTTAGAACTACATTAGCTATTTCACTAAATGGTAGACTTTAAACTAGAATTTTGGCAAAGCACCAATACCTGCTGTCAAAGGAGAAAGAGGTGGATAAATTAAAGGGAAGTTGATGGAGAAGTATGATCAAAAAAGGAGTGATGGCTCAAATGAGTAACTGGCATGCTCACCATGTACTGCACAGTCGAGCTGGACTTGCGTTTCTGTCCTCAGGCAATTGAAGGGATGAATTTATTGATGGTTGTGAAGATGATAGATAAAAAGAAGAGGTTGGGAGAACATAAAATGAGCAATGATACCGACTGAAGAACAAAAACATAACTTCTGCCCAAAAAAAGGAAATGGGATTCATGAAGAGGAAACGTCTTTAGAGGAGTCTGACTTTAAAGTTAAAGCAAAAGAATGCTGGTGCAAGAAAGAATAAAAGAAAGGAGAGACATCAGGGAAAAGGGAGGAAGTTTGCCAGTCAAGGCGGCAAAAGCAAAAATGCAACACTCTCTTAACAGCAGTAGGAGCAACAAGAAAGAAGATGGCACCATAAACTTTATAATTAAAAATTATTCATATTCGATATAAGCTGAAGCTTTTTTTGTCATTTCATAAAAAAAATATTGTTTGGATAAAAGATTGACCCTGGTTAAAATGATGAATGATTTAGCTTTAACTGAGCTAGTTTACACCACGGAGCCTAAAGGTGGTGGCTAACTAGTGCCAAAGAGAAAGCGCCTGCATACACTGGACAGGTGCTACAGCTGAGAAGCGTCAGGTGCCTTTACACATTAATGAGCCAGGAGGGAGCAAGAAAGGAGAGTGGCAAAGGATAAGAGGAGGCCGCAATAACATGAGGAAACGAGGAAGAAGGAAGGAAGGAAGGAGAATCAAGACTAGAAAGGAAAGAAAGCGGGGACATTAGCAAATGAAGAGGACGGCTTTAGAAATGCTTCGGGGTGAGTGTGTAGGGAGTCTGTTGCTAAGCGATGAGTGCGCCGCAGTGGAAGTAAGAGTCTATTTCTGTCGTTTGAGTTTCCAGGGTCCAGACTGGCAGCTATTCCTGGAACCGGAGTCACATTCCCTGGTGAAACGAACGAGCATTGGAGGAAAAGGAGGGAAGGAGCATTCTCTCATACCCACCCACACTTACACCGACACCCATGCTTACACACTCACCATGTGGAGGCGTGCCTTCACCCACATGTTCACGTTTCTTATGGGCAAACTGGACGTATGTGACAAACACACACCTGAACATACCTGTACAAATTGCACTATAGCGCATAAATGAACAGTATGTTCCATGCTTCACATCATGCATGCAGACGCAGCGATGGGAGCTGTGTGTGGGATGTGTTACTGCCAAGCATCTCCGTGAGCGTGGGATGGCGAGAGATCTTCATTTAAGAATGAGCGGGACTGTGGGGTTAATGACCAGATGGGGTGAGGAGGAAAAGGAAGCAACTAAAAAATAGGAGGAAGAGGCCAAGATGGTGGAATGAGAGGGGGATGAAGCTTTGCAATGAGGAGGGCTAACAGATGGTATATTCAATAAAGAAGATCCAGATAAAGGTGGATCAAAATAAAGGGGGCCTTTAGACGAACTTACTACTGGAAGCTTGTGGGCAGAAAAGCAACATTCAGGCTAATGCAGGAGCAGAGACAACAGATGTGTATCTAGACCAGAGCTTTTTTTAAAGATTAACAATTTATTTAAAACTGCCTGACTTGGGAATTCACAAGCACTCGTTTAGATGCACAAACGTGAACAACTATCACAAGACAATAAAGCAGTTTTTGAGCAAAATAAATGTTCCAAAAGAGAAAAATAGGCAAAGAGGTAGATAGAGGAGACAGTCTGTTGATCAAGGACAACAAAGAAGAAAAAGAGGTTTTGAAAAGTATGAGGAACACAATTAAGTCTTACCTTAACATCAGCCTTTTTGTTGAGCAAGGTCTTTGCTGCTGCAGGGACAAAAGAAAGCAAAACAAGTTGAACACTCAGTTTAACTGTATTTTCCTCCTGTCATTTACAGCAATCATCTTTAACATTCTAATCTTCATTGATATCAAAAGTAGAGCTGCACAATATACTGAATGTTAATTTTTATTGGAATATCAATTTGTTTAATAGTGCAATAGCAAAAAAAAACCTGACTGGATTCAATATTTGGCAGAGTGCTAGAGTATACCTTATGCATCATGCATTGAACACAAGTCAAGAAAGAAAAATATTGGTTGGATGGACTTTGTATTGCCCAACTTTGTTTTGGTAGCTTTTCTTCTGTTATTAAGCAGCAGTAGCCTTTGTTAGAAAGGGAAAGGCTTATTTTGATTTGGGGCCTTCTTTTACCATAAAATGACACCTTTCAGGTAAGATATTACACCTACCTTCAAATCCCAACACAGTCTTAATCTAGAGACTCATTAAGGAGTCAATTAATGCCTGTAGATGTTGGCTTCTTTGCTTCTATTGTCAAGTTAAAGATGTCAGGGGTTTCATTTTGTCTTTTGCTCCAAATGATGAACTGGGATTGGTGAAATCTTCGTCTGTGGTTTTTTAAAGCCAACTTTTAAGCTACAATGTTGTTTCGTAAGTGAATAGGAAAAGTTGTTGTCAGTGAAATAAAGATGTAATCTGATGTATTGCTTTAAAGCAGAGTCCGATGTTCCCTTCAGGAGTAGAGGAAAGCTGAAACAAAGATGGCCACCACAAGCGGCAGCCATGTAAACCCGACAATAAGCCCTGCCTGTGGGGCCTTAAGGAGGATTAGTTTTTAAGTCTGCACTCTAATAAAAGGTAATGAGGGAGGGGGTGAGCAGGTAAATAATACTTTAAATGGGGCTCTCTGATGAATATTCATACTAAAAAATCCCTTGCAAAAGCAAATGGAAACAGGAAGCAGACAACCCTCTGCAAGGTATTTCTGCTATTGGCAGAGGTTGTACTCAAGAGCAGATTAAAGGATGTCTAAATGCATTGAATAAATGGTGCCCCAGAGGGGCTGGAAATCTGAGCCAGACAGGTTCGGCGACTGATTTAATGTTAGAAGATTAAAGGAACTGTTACAGTCTAGGGTATAAATGCATAAATCCAGGCTTTGTTAATGCTTGATAGTTTGACCGTTTTAGATTTCATTTCCAGATGTCGAAGAAAACCAAATAGAAGACTTCCACTTGTAATTGACGACCGTCCGTTTTTACACACCCTGCATTTAGATGTTAAAGTCATTGTTTCCAAGGTCCAGTCCTTGAGAGCTACTATCCTGAAACTTTTAAATAAATCTCTTCTCCAACACACCTGAATCAACTAAGTGACTTGTTATTAGGTCTATTTTCAGCTGAGTCATTGGTGAGGAAATTCATCAATTAGATTCAGGTGTGATGGACAATAGATGCATCTTAGAAATGCAGGTGGGTAGCTGACGAAGTCTGGACTTGGGCAGCCCTGCACAAGGCAAAGAATATAACATTTAAGGTAACCTGAAGTAAATTTCAGAGAATGAAACAAGACCTGAGAGGTTAAAGTGTCACACTTGTGTCTTCCTTACTTCCATGGATGAGGTGCTTGCTGGGACTTTTCAAGTGGCTGAGTGCAATTTCAGGTCTAATCAGATGCAATCACATCAGCATCCCGGCAGTTACGTAAAAACTCTATTTCTGGAAGTCTGGCACGTTTTCCCCATCTTTTTTATCCTTTCCTTTCCCTTCTTTCTCTGAACATCTTGTTCTCTGCTCGATTTTCTTTTTTTTCAACGTTCTTCATCTAAACATGTTCCAAAAGCAGATACATTTAAAGAGACAGACGCTTGGATTTACTTAGCATCTTTATGGGACAGGCTCTCAAGGATATGGTCACACTTTTGAAAGCAGGTATAGCTCATAGAAAGAAAAAAAAGAAGTACAGCTAGTAAATATATACAGTAACCCTGAGCACTTCTTCATATCTGCTTCAATTATCAAGTATTTCATGCTTGAAGTGATAAATAAGCAAAATATAATCCAAACAGAAGAGAAAGTGGCATGAATGCACACTATTATTGTGCTGTTCTTCCTCTGCCTGTTTCTGAAGGAGAAAAAATTAGGTCAGCAAAGAGCCAAGTTCATTCTGTCTTATTCTCTGATGGTTTGTCAGAGGAGGACAGTACATGAGAGAGGAGAGGAAAAGTAAGAAGGGAGGTGGGAAGGCAACAGTCACTGAGCTTCCAGACATTATACACATTAAAGATGCACATTTAGACTCCAAGCATGGAGAAAGGGGCGCTGAGGAAACCTTAAAACCAGAAATATACAGGAGGTTATTTGAAATCAGAGGTGTTGAAACATGGGGCGCTCCTTACCTTGCCAAAAATTACACATGAAGCGAGAGGAGAGAGGAAGAACAGATTAAAAACAAAGCTCTTACCGACAAGAATCTGTTAAAAACAGCAAGATGCATCACTGCAGGAACAGAGCAAGGATGGGCATGGATTCACATCAACAGGCCTGAACAAGCTGCCTGAGATACCTCCTCATTAAAGCACACCACATACTGAGCTCCTGCATAAAACAGCTCAAATACCACTAGATGGGGACTGCTTTTGTACATCTATGACGTACAAAAACGGAAAAGGGCCTCCAGTTAGCTGGTGAGGCAGATCACTATAAATATTTGATAGGAGCCCTGTGGAAGCTAAGGGACACGGAGAAGACCGGGGGTCCCGGTAGACCACCGATACAAGGACACAGCCAGCACTTACATCTCGTCAGCTGACAGCCAGGCCATCATGTCAGAGAGTTATTACAGTAGGTGTAAGTGGTTTTCATCGACAGAGAGGAGCTCAGAGGAAAGAAAATTACTTTTTTTTTTTTTTCAAAGAAGATGAGTCGGGAACAAGCTGGAGCTCAGATCCATGTTTTATATCACTACTAAGGCCTTTTCCATGCACTCTACAAAAACCTTAATTTGTGGAGTGCATGATGCAGATTGCCTGGTTCTTTGCTGTCTCTTCCCTTCATTAAGGACAATTCATCCTAGTGCTGCTTCTCCAGAGCCGATAACATTATCAGTGATCCCTCACACCCCCACCATGGACTGTTCTCCCTGCTGCCCTTTGGGAAGAGGCTTTGCAGCATTTGATGCCCGACCAACAGATTCTGCAACAGCTTTTCCCCCGCTGACATCAGACTGCTGAAACTGTACACTAGACTCTGCATCACACTTGCAACATCATTAATGCACTACCAACCTGTTTTTTGCTTTTTTTCCCCTGTTTTTTTCACCCCGTAAAATAGAACACAAAATAATGTTCTACTGCATTTTGCACCATATTTATTTATTTTGCACTGCACTGATATTTTCCATACCAATGCCCTGTTGCTTTAGAAATGGAAATAGTAATTTCACAGTTGTAAGCTGCTCATTCACTGTTGTATGTTGTATGCATCGAAATTTAGTTTTGTATACACTATATGTATACAAAATGACAAAGTTTGTCTAAGTTTCTTGTTAGGATTATAACAGTTTCTTTCTCATTTACAGATTATGACTGAGCAGTGCTCTGTGGGATGATGAAATCATGGGGTATAATTTTTCATAAAAAAAAAACCTCTATGCAAACTTTTTTACTAACCTGTTTTCTTTATTTCTTGGAGTTCAAAGAAACAACAAGGAAGCCTTTGAGGCCTTAAAAAAAAACTGGATTTATACTGGAATTAAATTTCACACAGACACACTTTATTTGCCAATCAGGTGACCTCTTATTCTATTTGCAATTGTTGGCATTGGTTTTCATTGGGGGTATTAGAATAAAAGAAAGACACGCTGAATATAAATGAATCCCACACTTTTTTTCTTTTGCAAAAAACCCCCAAAACATAGAAACATTTTTTTTTATTCCTTTAAAATTATGAATTACTTTGTGTATGAAATAATTCAAAGTCTGTGACTATATGTGAAACAAGTTCAAGGAATATGAATAATATTGCAAGGCACTATAGTAGACTGATATCAATGTGGACAAGGTAAGAGTAATAGTTATACGGTACATTGGGCTGACTCACAGTCTTTGTATTAAACCTTACAGACCTACAAACAATTGGCAACAACATTAAATCAAACTGTTTTTGTTCCAAAAGCCCTCTGCCTTTAAATCTGTGAATTTTACATGAACAATTGTGATATATATATTTTTCCACTGCAGACAGGGCCATTAATTCAGTCCCAAAGAAAATACAAGACCTGCCCTTGAAGTTATCTGGCTCTCAGGCTATGTTCTTCATTTTATATTGTGTTCATAAAGCTTTAGTCCCACATGCTTCCCTTTAAACGTATTTTGGCCAGTTTGAGTAAGATACAGGGTGCAATCAATTACCATTTACTCTGTCAACATTTACCAACAGTTTTATGTAGGGATGCTAATATAGAAATGACCCTGGAAAAAGAAACATTGGAAGATTCATTGACATCTACACCATTAACTGCATCTATACTGCCATAAGTCAGGTCAGACGGCAGTCATTGAACAACTTAGATAAAGTGAAGTATCAAACCAGGGTTCTAAGGATTTTGACTATGTGAGCATGCCCAGTCTTGCGTCATTTGCAGAGTTCATCATGCACCAAGGATCCCTTTAGTGCAGCAGCGCATGCACCAGTCCAGAGCCCCATGCAGCATTCACTGACAGCTCTCAGGCAGTTCCATCCTTTAAAGTTGCAGGGGTTGAACTTTCCAGTGTCATCGTTCGACAGAGAAAAGAAAGAGAGGGAAAGAAGAGTGAAGAGACCAGGTGAGATGGAGGGTCACACGGTGGGCACATGGAAACATGGAGTGAACCTGATGAGCTTATGGAGAAGAATCGGGTGTAAGGAAGATGACAATCAGAGAGATTTTACAAGGATGGGAAAAATTATGGATTTGAAATGGTGGGAATTAGACGAGATGGCAAGAAGAGATGGAGAGGAAACATAGGGACAGAAAATCAGTGTGACTGAACCAGGGCCATGCTCTGTGTATGCAGGGGGGGATGAAACAATGATGAAAGAGCAGTGATAGGCACCAAAGCCACACTATACATCTCTGACAGGAAGTGACGTGTGTTGACAGTTGTAGCTAGGCTTTCATCCATAATTTTGCGAATCTATTATATTAATGCAAAAAATAAAACAGTCACCCAAAAACTAAAACAATCATTTTCATCCATTAAAAAATATCCACATCAATGGATTAATTTAATGTAGATAATGTCTTCTGGGTAATTCACTTCTTTATACGTATATAGTCATTTTTTTCAAGATTCTTAAGAGTTCAGCATCGAACACCTAATTAAGCGATGTTACCATCCAATCCTACACTTAGCATCTTTATTCTTACTTAAGTAATGCTTACGGATTAAAAATGTTGCAGGAAAAAAGCTGGGATGAAAAAACACAATCGAGGCTAAATAATTGGATGAAAACTAAGCTAGTCCTGCTTTCGATGATATGGTGACAGATGTAGTTAGCAGTGTGGTCAGCCATCATGCTCTGATCTCCCATGCTAAGGGAGGAAAGAAATGAGAAGAGTTAGAGGGAGTTTACGATGAGGTGAGAGATAAAGAAAACCAGGTATACAGAGAGGGAGCAGAGAGGGGTGGCATGCCCTGGGAGAGCCACCATGCTACCTTGTTCCACCAGCCCTGCGGTGGTGCCGGCGGCTGCAGCCGCAGCTGCCGCAGCCGCGGTCACAGAGGCTGGAGCCGTGGTCTGCCTGCTGCCAACTGTTAAGAATCCAAAAACCCAGTAACACGTGAAGAAAAAAAGAGTTAGGCATTAAACGGGAAAGGATTAAAGAGGTGATTAACGAGTGAAAGATGAGGAAAAAGTTGACACGATATTTAAGAGGTGGTGGGTGGGTCAGCAGGAGGTCAAGGGGAAGGGTTGGGGGGGTTCCTTAATAGTACAAGTTAGGCTTTTTCATGCCTGGAAGGAATTCCATTAAATTTGGCCTTTTATCAATTGATTTGAATCATACTGTGATCAGTAAGTCAGAATTGAAACTTTTAATCTCAGAAAACCTGGTGCCGATTCATTTATGCAGCAGGAGATGGTGAGTAAAACAACACAGCTAGTTTAGTGTCTTAAAACTGACATTTTCCTTCAGAAAGTTAGCCGTCCTGCACAACACCAATCTCTCACTAGCTGTGCTGGCAGACGGCCGATCAGACTAGAAATGTTTCATGTAAACATGCCACTCAGAAAATCCTGATCAGAATCTGCAGGATCAGCATTACATTGATTTATGCCGATTAATACTAATTCTGGTACGAATATTTCAGCTAACATCCTTACATGACACATTTTCAGTCCAATCGGCCGTTTTATCACAATTATTTATTGCCATATAACAAAACAATCTGATTATATTTTGCTTTTGAGTCAGACTGTGAAATTTTGTGCACGTTAGCATAGCTAGTGAAGCTGGTTGCTCCTAGATGTTCCAGATTTTCAGATTTAAGTCAGATTTAAGTGGCTCGGATGGATTAGAGAAAATCCATAATCAGAATTTGACACTAAAATGCATTATTTGAAATGTATTGTTTTGCATGTTTCACAATCATCCATCAATTAAAAAGGAACAACTAAAATAGACGATAAAAAAAACATATCAAAGCGTATATGTCTCTTGTGAATGAAAACTTCTGTGTGACCAGTGACATTTGGTAAATACATGAATCCACGGATCAGGCAGAAGAGTCAGGAGGAAACAAGGCCAAGTAGAGGTACTGTTTGAAGTTTAACACTGCTGCATGTTTTCTTAGTAAAAGCCTTATTGTTAGTATGATGATTATAATGCAGAATTAAGCTTTATGTTTATTTTTGTTAGTGCTTACTGACTTTAGAAACTGCCGTTTTTTATTTAATGAATAAATGAATGAATGAACGTGGGCTGCATTTAATTTTCAAGGTTAATAATTTGATTTAGATATCTTTGTAAAAACTTTTTATGGTATTGGTAGAGTCCTATTACATCAACATGAGGAAAATAAATAGCATCTCCTCTGTTTGTACAGCCTCATTGTATAATGCATGACTCAGAAACGTTGCTGAAAATACAGAGGGAAAAAAAAAGTATTTCCGCTGACATTTTCTGTGATTTAATGTGCAGCAAGTCCTTTCCCTATGCTGGCTCAGATGCTTTTTAAAAAGTTTGGAGTTCTTTCTCCTTCTCTGACTCATCCACCTGATGGCCTCACACTTATAATGGAGTACCAGTTCCTATAAAGACGAAAAAGAGCGAGAAGAGGTGTTGAGTGAGGATATACACCTGGGTCAGTGTGTGTGTGTGACTGTAGGAGTCGGCAGAGTGGTTATAAAGTGGATCCTCAGACGGTTTCCAACTGGGCAGCTTACAGAGTCAGAAAGCCCACTGTGAATCATGTTTACTGAAGCAGCGTGTCAGCATCGGCACATGGACGCGCACACAGAACACACACATACCACACAGACACAGACCTTTAATGACTCATTTTAAATGACAATCAAACATTAGCAGGAACGTTCCAGAGCAGTTCGCACCACGGAGGAGTACATTTTTTAAACTTTTTATCAAGATTCCTGCTGGTTTGATGGTTTTAAATGGTCGGTCCTTCTAGATCTCATTTCATGGAAAAACATCCACTTTTTACTCTCTAACAACCATTATTTCACTGACCACAACAAGGCAGAACATTTTCCATCATGTTAAATTTTTGTTAATTTTTTGGGGATATACCGTATTTTTACTGTCATCATTATTAGAGACAAAAGAAGGGAAACTCTGACCGGAAAAAGTCAGTAACTGAAGGTTTCAAAGAGGGTGTGGAGGGGATCTTTAATCTGTTTGACTTTATTACTGTGCAGGTTCAAAACCCTGAGTAGAACCTTTAAAAGTATACCTAAAACAAGAATACACAGACATACCAAGACAAGAACAAAGACATTTTGCATCTTTAGCTTTTAAACAAAATTCAGTGTTCCCAATGTTTTACTGTGAAAGTTTAGAAAAAGTGTCAAAATTAGAACCAAATACTTGGACATCATTCAGCGTTGGATAGTAAGCCTTACAGATGCATTCATTTAATCTAAACGATTACCAGCCAGGTGGAAATTTCAAAATCTGATATTTTTCTAATCAGCAAATGGAGCGCAACACTATTTGGTACAGAAGTTGTAACTGTGAGGGAGGGGGTCTAATGCTAAGTTCAGGTTGCACACGATAGAAGCAGCAAATAAGCGCCTGCTGCTTCATTGTTGATGCTTCACACATGCCTCAAGTGCATCTCTGGCTCTCCTGAAGCGCATCCAGTAAGATGTGTCCAGATGTGCCTGATGCTTCTGCTGCTCCTGCATTCAATAGCAGAGCGGCATTGCTATTTCTGCTGTTATAAGTGGGTAAAAAGTAGTTCTAATATGTTTTACGTGAGAAAGTCCCCCTGAAAACTTCATCTGTGCTGTCAGTTTATTAAGATTATGATCCTGCCTTCAAATATTATGTCGCTGTCGGACCTGAACAAAAACCCCCTGTACAGCGGCGGTGACAAATCCAAACTGCACACACCAGCATAATAAAAGCAAGCATATTTTGCCGGCAGGTTTCGACATTTTAAGTCAATTTAGGCATTAATAAACTGTTTCAGGGGAGCGATCATAGTGATCTACATCAGCAGTGCTGTGTCTGTCTCCCCGCCAGCTAACAGATCAGCTTCTCTTCTTGGTTAATGTGCCGTGTTAAGCTGCAAGTTATATTTTACCAACTCCAGCAGCTGCCGCTACTTAAGCGCGCCATGCGCCTCAGACGAGCATGAGGCGCTGTTTTAGCAGCTTTGATGCGTCAAGATGTGCTGCTCCTGCAGCTCGGAATGAGCAGGACCTTTTGATGCGCGTCAACCATTGACTTTGCATGTAAACCAGCTGCTTCTGCTGCCTCTATTGCGTGCGGTGTGAACGTAGCATTAGTTGTATATTTCAAAGCCTAAGGTGAAGATTTTTTTTCTTTTCATCGACTTGGAGGTTTGTTTCAGACTCATTTTCATCGTCAAAAAGCATCATCTGTCAGTGGATGCGAATATGTACTCATCTTGATGCAGGTTTATCGAATTGGTGGAACAAATAAGAGGCACCCTATCTTGGTACCAAGGAGGCTGAAGTTGGTAAAGATAAATGTACAGTAAAAGTCAAAGGGAACACTGACATTGAGCTGCAATGAGATGATAATGACATTATGCTTTTTTTAACATGCTCTTTAAACTTCAAACTAATAGTTTATGTTAAGGGAGAAAATGATCTGTTGCTACCCGTGTTAAACTTGGGTATGCCCTCATATGAGGAAGAACATGAAACCAGACTTTACATCATTTTAAGTCAGGTGTCAGATGATGTTCTTCCATCATAATGGCATGTGCCAATCACACATAATAGACATTGAAGGGTCAACTTAGTTACATTGAAACCTGGTTATTGATTAGAGCTACTTTAAAGGTCAGGTTGTTAAAACTGGAGATAAAATAAATCCAAAATGCTCTTACCTGAAAAATTTCGAGAAACCAGCATGGTCGTAAGAATCGCCCCCTAAGTAAAAAAAAATATTAAGAATTACTTTATGAGAATAAAAAAAAATTTGTACAAGAAGTTCCATTGTGCAGCTAACCAATCAGCAAATTAAAACAAACACGAGTTTGTTTTTTTTTACATTTCCAAGGATTTTACTGTGGGAGGAAAAGAAAAAGTATTACTTCTTAATATCGATGTTTTTTGCAGAGATGCTTATAAGAAAATCCTCTCAGCTTGCAATCAAACCCAGTTTTAGAGTGTGACGTACCTGATAAACAATTTTAAAGTTAACATTCAATCAAAGCACAAGAAGTGAAAAGAAAAAACACCAAATGTTCAGCTGAGCTGCAAAATTTGTGATGTGCAAAATAAATGTGTGTCAACCAGAAAAAGTGGGTAATTATTTGTAAGTCATTTCTAAAAAAACAGAACAATTGCATGCCAGAAACAATCTAACCTTTCATTCTTCTATTTACAAATTTGTAACAGGATCAAAACAGCACTGAGCTACAATTATGTTAATAAATGTTTGACTAATTCTAATGAAACTTAAGCTCTTAAAAAAGAACCAAAAAAAGGCATTGATTCTTATTATGTCATCCACAACCCTGACATCTGGATGGATGGATGGATGGATGGATGGATGGATGGATGGATGGATGGATGGATGGATGGATGGATGGATGGATGGATGGATGGATGGATGGATGGATGGATGGATGGATGGATGGACTCATAGACAAGGGTTTGGACATTTTAATAGATTTTTTTTATACATACTGAAATAAAAATTTCTATATAAAATAGTTATTCTAATAAAATGTGCTTTATTAATATAAGAGAGCATCAGAAATCTTCAATTTGGGGGTTTAACCAGACTGGATCCCATTCAACACCAACATTTCCCTCTTTTGAGCCCTTTCAAACTTCTTCTTATAAAATTGTTCAGATTCTTGCTTCTTTTTATAAGAAATCCAATCTTGTAAGGGTCTGTCTTTATGTGTGAAAAGCCTGAGAGTATCAGTGGTAGCTGATGGCATGTTGGTGGAATGGTGAAACATTTGCCTGCAGCCACCTGCGCTTCTGTTTCCAGCTTCTGATGAGCTGGTATTTGAGCCCTGCCAAGAAAGGCCGAAAGCAGCAGGGTAACAGTGTCGCGCTCCAACGGCTAAGCTGTTATATCCACACAAAATGTCAGCAATAAATCAGCATGAAGGGGAAAGTTTAGATATAACACAACTTTGCACTTTTGACAGTATTATAACTTCAAAGTCCATCTAATAGCAGATGTTCATTATACATCATACAAAAGAAAATATTTTATTGTTTATTGTAGTGATGTGTGTAGTCCTCACCAGCATAAGCATTATAAAACAACTTGATTAATTAAAAAAACAACTAAAAATTGTCAAAACTTAAAAAGAACGGCAGGAGGAGAACAGTTTCTTTTTTCTTGTTTCGAATCACATGAGAGCTTATTAGAGCAGATATGTTGGAGACTGAAGCATGCAAACAGACCTTGAGTTTCCTCCTGGCATTGAATTTCTTCAGGCACTCCACAGTCTCCTGTCTGTGCATCATAGATGCCACTGTGGATCGTTGCTAGGAAGAGGAAACACAGCAAGAAGGCAGAGAACATGATAAACTAATGTTAAAACTTAGTCTTGTGATTTGTAAGCTTGTGCTTAGCCGTGCAGCAAAGACGAGGCCACTTACGCAGACCCATGGGTGCTTAAGGGCCTCCTGGGCAGTGATCCTCTTGGCTGGATTGATTGTAAGCATCTGGTTGATCAGGTTTTTTGCCTCTGGAGTGACTGTGTCCCACTCTGGGGATGGAAACTACAACACAGAACAAAATATATCAATAAGGATATCCTGTAGTGCAAATGTTGATTATCGTTTGTGTCCAAATAGGCTCACACTGTAAGTATACATTTTAAAGTTAATAAGTTTATTACCTCAGTAAAAAAACTGGAAGAACTTGTTTCCAATCAGACACATACAAACCCAAAGTGAATCTATATTATAACCATTAAACTGCTGGGAATTTCACCAAACTGGGTCTATTGCTAATTGAAGGCTTAACCCATAAAATGTTTTCACTGAATTCTTAAACGTCCCCAGTCTTTTGACAGCTCTGTAGCACATTATGTGTGGAGTCTTTTGGGGTTTTTATTTCATTTAAGAAAAAAAGAAGTGTTACGAAAGGATAAAATAATTTTGAAAGTAAAATAAACAAGAACTGATGTTATTTAAGCCAGAACAAAAAGTTTGGAGAAAACATATATTGTCTTAGAGTATATAAAAGATAAATTGACATCGGAAAATGATTTCCAAGGGAAAAAGCATCATCTCGGATATATATTTTTACTCTCAAATATATATATTTTTTGCAACCAGAGTTTGAAGTTTTCTTTCAAAAATAGATTTCTCTCTCAACTTTTTCCTTCCCTCTTTTACTAAAGCCGGGTTTACACTGTGCAATTTTTAGCCCCTTATGGGCCGACTTTCCAGTAGTGCAAGAACTTTTTCTATCGGGCCGACTTTCAGCCTGATCGTGCGTCTTTCTGTAAAAATGACAGACCGTAGTAGCCACATTTGCTCAGCCATTTCTTTGTCCAAAACAATTGCCGCCTTTTCTTCTTAGGGCTTTCAGCCACAAGATTGCACAAATTGCCAAGGCAGCACGGTTCACTCTAGTGAATTTCATATTCCTTTTCTACTCTTTGGCTTGTGGATAGACGAGTCTGAGTAGAGACATCTCACTGCAGAGCCTTAACCTTTATAGACGTACAGTGTGAGCAGGTAGATCGCATCAGAGCGTCGGGCCGCACTCTGAACTCACACTGTACGGCGAAATCCTGCGGTTTCGTCGTACTGCGTGCAAGGATTGAAAAACATTGCACAGTGTACGCCCGGCTTAAACCTGTTTTTGCTCTCTACTCAGGATTTTTCTCTTAATGTGAAACATTTGTCGTGGATCGGCCTGTATTCTTATTGGCCAGTCCCAACAGAATTGAAAGCTAGTGTATTAGAAACATGTTCTGGTAGCAGATCTCAACACCACATGCAGCAGTACAAGGGATTTCTACATAAAAGCCATAGCCACTCCCTTGGGGTGGATTGTTTATTGAAGCCAAAAGGCCAGTCCAAGCAGAGCCTCCAGCAATTTGTTCAGAACCCCATAACCCATCAGGTCCTGTTGTGTTTCAGCATAAACAGTAAGGTCTGTGTCCAATGAGCTCAGAATCACAGCCAGAGAGTCCGTCAGGTTGTCTCTTCTTTATTTGGCTTGAAGTTTAATGTGATCTATGGTGAAACCTGCTCTCTTGCACCCCCTCAAATATTAATGAGGCTTCTCGGTTATGTAAGAGCTGCCAGAGGGGATGAGAGGGCAGCGGGAAGAGCAGGGAGGGCATCAAGATGGAAGGAGGGGAGCAATTATAAAGAGCTGAAGGGAAAAGGAGCGGAGACTCACATCATAAGCCCCAGCCTTGATCTGTTGGTACAGCTTGTGCTGGTCCTCATCCCAGAAAGGAGGGTAACCCACCAGCAGGATGTAGAGGATCACCCCTGAGTCACAAGCACATGCAAAAACACACAAAAAAAAACAAATACAACAAAAACACAATATCAGTTCAACCTTCTGTTTGGTGTAGGAACACTTAGCAAATACCATATGGATGTAGTGCTTCAATGAGAGCATTTCTCTAAACTCACCGCAGGCCCAGATGTCCACAGGTTTGCCATATGCCTCCTTCCTCAATACCTCAGGGGACAGGTATCCCGGTGTTCCTGCAAAGCCTGCAGCAAAAACACATCCGCGATTGACTGACATGCTGAATGCAGCAAATTATGTGGCTGCTTCATTTGGATCCTATGCAGAGAAATTTATATCATTATCAACATTTTAGCCTGGACCAAACTGTGAAATTAGTTCTTCTGGGTTTAGCAGTTCCAAACTGTGACCTGTTTTAGTTCTGTCTTGCAGTAGAGAATACAGTAAAACCATTTTGACCTTTTTCGGCTTATTTATCTCAGACGTACCAGGAACAGAGATCTGACCCTAATCATTTAATAGTAGACATTGATTAAATTAAATAATTAAAACTGAAAAGCTGTATGAGGAACACAAAGACCTGTTTAAAAACTTTAGCTCACATTGTCTACAAAAAACAAACAATTTTATTTATAACAATTTTATTTTTTGCAATTTTATTTATAACTTTATCGTTTAAACAAAAGAAATTTTGCATTCTTTTGATAATGCAAAAAAAATAAAGTGTTTGATTGCTTTCAATGCCTTTTGACATCAAGATACCGAAAGCAAACAATTTATAGCACCTAATCGTTAAAAACATCTAAACCCAGAGAAAAAAAATCAATAGACTGACACTCCAGCAATTTTACTTAGGAGATATAGTAACTCTAACGATCTTAAAGTTTGTAAAGCAACATTGAGCTATATCACTCCCCTACTTCCATTATATATTTATTGATGTGTAGCTGTTTTAAGACAGCATCTCACAGGTTTAGGATCTGGAATTTGATTCGGCCATTTCTACAGACTCTTTTCTTTAAGTTTTATTGTTGGTTGGGAACTTAGTTTATTTATTGGCCCAAATAACAACTAGATGTACAAAAACTTCAGGACAGAAAAAATTCATATACATATAAAACAGCTAAGATATAATAACCGAGCGTCTCGTAACAGCCAGGGGGGCCGGACCAATCACTTGCCAGCTGTGTTTTTTTTGGGCGGGATATGTAGGAATGTCGACAGTCAGGAGGGCCTTGCCCGGACATGACAAACATGGCTACGCTGGAGGACTCACCTGTTGATACTACAATTGACGTGGTTTTAGCTAAAATAGCGTCAATTTCCCATTTAACAAAGGAGCAGAGAGAAGCACTTGGTGAAAGTCTGTGTTTTTCTTCCAACAAAAGATTTATAAGCTTACTCAGCTTCTAAGATTGGCTGAAAGCGTATTAAGGAAGGTGCGTACTAGCTGGCACGTCACCCAATCAGCTTAAAGTATTGTACTAAATGTCCCTCCTTTTCACAGAGAGACTGAACCGCGGCCATCCCAGATTGATAACGTAGAACTCAACTCAGTTCTACACAAGGGAGCTAAAGAACATGTTAAATTGTACATGGAGAGGGTGAAATATCAAGACACTGATTGTAAACTACTGTGATTTTACATTTAAAGGAGAATATACTGTTGCCATCCACTTTCTCTTAAAACAGGACCAGGTCGAGAAGGCAGCAGTCTGAGGGAAGCCTGAGGCTCTCCTGGGCCAGCCGGGAGACATAGCCCCTCCAGCGTGTCCAGGATCATCCCCTGGGCCTCCTCCCAGTGGGACATGCCTGGAACACCTAGCAGACAACTAGGAGGTCTCGATGCGGAGGAGAAGTATTCCTTCCACCCTATGTGCTCATTTAAAGGATGAGATTTACATGAGAAAAAGTGTGTTTTAAAATATGTTTGAAAAAAAAAAAAATAAATTGCCCAGTAGAAGCTGCATGATCTCCAGCAACAAGAAACTGTCCAAGCAGCTCTTTTCTGGATTTAGAAATGGCTTCGGGACAGCCTAAAGCATCCTTTTAGCCAGTCTATGAGCATGCAACATGCAGAGTAAAGCAGCAAAGAAGAGGCAAAACCATCGACTGGAAAATATCTGAGAAGCTAGCGAAGGGACGCTTAAGCCAGAGTTATGTGCTCTTGTTAACTTCGTTAGTTAAAAAAAAAAAATCCTGCAGCAGCATTTTAAACCAACTACACACATAATGAGAAGGCCCGGTTATCCTCTATCAAAAGAAAGTTATGATAATCCAGGCGTAAGGTGATAAAAGCATTAATCTAGGTGACATCTTAAAAGTTTTAAATCAGAAAGAACTTCAATGCAGTGTTTACGCACCAGTCAAGTTTTAGGCTAAGGTCCATTTATACACCTGAACTAGTGATGCTAGATATCTTGCAAGGCCTAAGAGCAGGGGTGGGCAATTCCAGTTTCTGAGGCACAATATCCTGGAATTTTTAGATTCACCCTTCGTCCAACACATCTGATTCAGGTGTGTCTTTTGTCTCCTTGGTATTCATTCAGTTCCTCCAGAGTCCTCTCAATTCCCTAATTACTTGATTCAGGTGTGTTGAACCAAAAGTACGTCAAAACGTTGCAGGATATTGGTCCTCAGGAACTGGAATTGCCCAACCCTGCCTAAGAAGATAGTGAAAGTTAAGGATACAGCAGGAGCCCCGGTAGAGAAAGATTCCTTCACATTTACCTCAAACCACCAGATGCTATAAGATCTAACATGTTGTATTTGGCTTTGGTCTCCGAATTCTGGTTACATATCTACATTTGGCTTATGGGAGTTCTGTGACTCAGTCAGATTAGACTCCAAAAAAAAAAAAAAAAAAAAAAAAAAAAAAATCATGCTGCTCTATTTCAGAGAAAACCTTCTTCGTTAAACTTTTCAAATAGCATTTGCTTATCTAAAATAATTGCTTGCTGATTTTAACCCTGGCATTGTGTCACCATCCATCTGTTGGATCCAGAGCAGTTAATGCCCAAACACCTGATTTTAAAAAGGCAATGTTCATTTAGTTGAGTGCATTAAATTAACAGCAACTGGCTGAAGCTTTAAAATCCTATGAGGAAATAAGGGTGTGCTCAGTTTTCCTCGTTTAATACTTGTTTATATCTAATAGTATGGAAGAACAAGATGACTATTACTGTATGTTTTTGCATGTATTATGTTAATTGTAGATATATATTCTGGTGGCAAAACCATTTTTATTATGTCCTCCAACATGAAACCCCAACATTTTTTAAGGGTGGTCTAAAAAAAAAACCTGCTCAACTCTAAAAATCAGACATTTTCATCCCTCGAGGATACCCAAAACATTACAGAGTAGTTTATTACATTAATACCCTTTTTTCTAATGAAAAGTATAATCCAAAGTTATGGACTGTCCCTATGGTACCTACCAAACCAGGCCTGCTGATCCCCTTGCACCTCAATGGCCAGGCCAAAGTCAGCAAGCTTCACGGCAGCATTCTTACACTTGCTTGCAAGGAGCAGGTTTTCTGGCTGAGGGGAAGAAAAGGAGGGTGAGAGGTTAACAAAGGACTTACAAGGTTTGTTATTAAAAAAATGACAGTCCTCATGGGGTTAATGCTAGAAGCAGACAGTAAAGCATGCAAAATTAAAATACCCCTATTAGGGCCAGGTATACTTCTCACATTATTTTTTTTATCATGCATGGACATAGAGGGGAGTTACAGTAAAAGTTAGTCCACATTACAGCAGAGCTCAACCCAATAAGTCGGCAGCACTTCTATCTCCTTGTCTCATGCGACGAGGCTCAGTAAGCTTCATCTCTGTGGCCTAGATAATGCAGCTAGCCTCGTTATTCTTTGTCAGAGGAGAGATCTAATAATGGGCATCTATCCCCAATGGTCTCTGCTCTTCACACTTTCCTCCTCTTTGTCTCACTTAATCATTGCCTCTGCAAAGGTAAAAGGCAGCTCCGACTTCAGCATAAAAGCTTCCTCTGGGAAATATTAACATCAAATATGATCCAGGGCTATCATTTCATCCAATATTCTTGATGCTGGATAATCACCAGGATTGCTAACATGATTACCTACATATTACGTCAGATTGGCTATCAAAGTGACTACTGCATTGGTAAGACTTAAATATTTCAGTTGACAGCTGGAAAGCTAAAAAAAACCAAACCTAACTTGAAAGCAACATGTTGAAGGGAGGTAAATGTTAATGGTTTGCATCCTTAGCACAGGGAGGGAAGCTTATTCGTCTTTTAAAGAGCAAGTTCAACTCTAGTGAGCTAATTTATCCAAGATTGTTTCTATTTTTTCTGTTAACAACTGCACCAGTTTCTTTAAAGGACATTTATCCAAACTTTCTGAAGTAATAGAGACATTTTATTCAGGCTGGATTTCTGTAACTGCCTTGTTTACACTGCACCAGCATCCATCTGCATCTTCTGCTACGGCCTCATTGTTTTCTGTCCTCAAATCAGAAGGTTTGCCTGTACTTAAAGCACAGTGAGCCAAAAGCGCACTTTTTACGGCACCAAGGCCAAGATGATAAAAAAAGGCAATGCGAAAGATGAGGTAAAAGGAGGGATAATCCTTTAGCTTCGCGCCCACATCATGTCATGATATTCTCCTGGCTCTAACGCTTAGTTAGGCCCTCTTTTGTAAACCAGAGAGTTAGAAGGTGCCAGCACCACAGCAGCAGTATAATCCCTGACAACGTATGTGGGTGGCATTGGTGATGAAGCAATGGCTTCCATCAAAAAGCTGCGCTTACATTTAGACATGAAGCGATAAACATCGTTCTTGCTTGTGACAAGAGGGCCGCCGTTTCTCCTGCTACTTTTTGGCAGACGCGCATTTGGACCCGAGCAGGTGGCCGAGCACAGGGAAGACTAGCAGCTGGCAGGAGGGCAGGGAGGGGAGGTTACAGATGATGGAAAAAGCTGCATTTGAGAGCAGGTCATGAGTGGGTGATTTGGAGTGCTTCCCAGATTTTCACTCTTCCTTTTCTATTTATTTGTCTTTAAAGGATCTGGATTTGCTTTGGACAAGTAGCAGATATTCAAGGGTAAATAAAGTAGCTGCTTTCTCATAAACAGTTTGCAGAGTAAGAACCTTGTCTCTAAGAAATTAGTTTGCCTTAATTATCAGTCACCTTTGATTTGGTTTTAAATATATTTCAAAACAGAAAGAAAATATCTAATTTATAGTTTCTCTTTATATTCGTTTAAACTTTTATACAAAATATATAAAAGTACATTTAACCTACAGTACGTTGCAAAAGCCGTCATGCTTCATGAAATTTTTTTAGAAAATTTAAATGATAAAAAAAGCAATTCTCGTTTTATCTTATTGTGGCTTTTGAACTTTTTTGTTTGTGACCTTTTTCACTGCAGAGACAGCCGGTGCCAGATTGATATGAAGTCAAGCAAAGAGGGCTGAGCTTGTGACATTGATGTAAGGATAGATGCATCCTTTGGTAAAGATGTTAAAGTGAAAGATACTGTATGGTTTTTTACTGTATTACAAAATGTTGATTTTTTGTTTTAAAAAAGGAACGTAATTATTTTTCTTTTTTAGTGTATTTATAGTACTTATAGGCTACTCAATTGTCAGCATAATTCATGAGCACATAATTACAAAAATTATCATAAGCTGCAGATATATACTGAGATGAAATCAATACTATTAAGAGCTTTTTCAAGTGAACTCTTTACACTGGATTTCATTTAATGATATTTAGACTAAAAATGAGCCAAATACAAAAAAAGCTATTCACTTTTTGTTTTACTCATTAAATAATATCTTAAAATCTAATTTTCCTTCCATTGTTTTTAATCACATATCATCACAACTGAATTCAACATAAGTTTTTTTGTTGTCAAAGAGGAGTAAAATAAAAAAATGTTCAAAGGGGCTGAAGACTTTGCAATACACTGCACACCAAGTCCTTTTCAGTACAGTCTGTGCATTGAGATTGGTTTTGCTGGCACAAAGACACAACTCGACTCTGTTGTCATGTCTATTGCTAATTTGAGGGATCATGTCAGTCGGGCTGTCCTCAGTCATCACACTATGACCTATTGCGAGAAACAGTCCTTGCTGCGTAGCTGTGAAACAAGATAGGTGCGTAAGCTAAATAAAGCCTTTGCCTACAACAGTTCTGATAAACACAACCGCCTTTGCTGGAATGCCAGGACTGACATTTGCATAGAGGTCTACTTGACAAAGTGCATCATTCAAAACAAGATGCAACAGACAGACGAAACGCATACAGAAATACCAGCAGGGAGGACATAAAAAAAAAAAAAAAAAGAGGACTGGAAAAGGCTGATTTCTAGACGATTTAGACACTGAATTGGACACAACTCTTATTTGATGTTTGTTTTGCAGAAGCAGAAAGGCATCTTAGCAAAGACGCCTCTAGAGCACTGAGGGCTGTGGACAATCTGACAAAGTATTCCTTACAGAAGTAGCTCTTGGTTCTTGGGTTCCTCATTTGCTGATTAGTTCAAGCAGTCGGTCAACATGACAGTCTAACATAAAGTAATCTGAACTCTGTTTCCATTTAATGGGGAAAAAATTATTTTCATATTTGGCCCATCATCTGAGCCAACCAGGTAACCGGATAGAGAAAAAAATACAACTTCTCTGAGTCAAGTTAGCGACCCAGAGATAAGAGGAGAGACTTTTTCAGCCAATATTATGTGGAGTAGCTGTGCAGTGACAGAAATCCTGCTACCAAAAGCTTACATAGCAGGAGCACAGGTCAGCCAGCGTAACCTGTAGTGCATGCATGAAATTACTGAATGCTTGAACTTCCCAGACACTGACAAATGATGTTTAAAAGGAAGGTGGCCAAAAGTTAATAAGAAAGATGGAGAAGATCAGGTAAACTTTCACCCAAATCGCTCTAAAGTTTTAAAACCAGGGATCACATTCAGTCTGAACTGTAAGTATGTAAGAGGTATTCTAAATGGAAACGAATGAGATGTTCCACAGCCCTCTATAACTTGTAAGACTTTGCAAACAAAAAACAAATTTCTTTACTAACAGAAAAAAAAACTACAGAAAAAGCACAACAATGAATCCTGAAGACACAAATATACAACTCTGAAGGGGGCAGCAAAGCAGTTCCCATCTACTCACCTTCAGGTCCCGGTGCACCACACCCATTTGATGGCAGTGAAGCACCGCCTCCAGGATCTGCTGGATGCAATGACTGCATGCAAACACCAAGGGAAGGGGGGCGAATGTTAGTCTTAGCAGCGCTTCAAACCCGTGCACAGGCCAGGGGGTAAAGAAAAGGAAGGGTTGGTGGGGGGGATTTGAGGAGTAGAACAAGAGATGAGAAAAAAAAAAAAAACTCCTCTGTTGTTCAAGTGTCACATTTGTACCAATCACTTGGTTTTGCAAACCCACAAATGAGCAAATGACCAACCTCTGAGTTAGAAAGGCCTAAAGGTTGATTTAAAAAGCATATTTTTTTACTTCCACACTAGAATGGTACAGCTGTGGGTGTTCAGCAACTGAAGACTTATTTAACTCAACCTTTTATGCAAGAACCATCTGACGGTGGCAAATATTTTCAGTTTTACATATTTTTCAAACATCTGGAGTCATAGACTATATTTAAAATTTCATATGCCCTTCCACCATCCATGTCTTACCCAGCAGGTCAAGTCCAGCTGAAAAGGGACATGAGAACATTTTTGGCCAAAGCAGGCCTGGAAAGAAGTGAAGGACTTAGTCATTGTAAATTACTAATATTTTCAAATGGTGTCTCTGTAAGGCTGTAAAATAAATGGGGTGTTTGTAATTTACCAGAGACTAAAAATAGCCCCCATCCTTGCGACCCAAAAATGGTGAGAAATAATCTAAGAGGCAGCATATTGTAGGTGCAGGACTAGAGAAAATATCTGACATGATGGAGGAGGCGGGTATGATTAAAGGTAAGATTAACCTGACAGGAAACAACAATGTGTGGAGGTATGAATGCTGTTTAGCTGATGGATGAGTAGAGCTGCAGCGACACGCACTAATATAAAGTTCAAGCATTTAAATCTGTACTGGTGTGTGTGTGTGTGTAATAAAAGCTTGGCCATGCATGAATTCCTCCTGTGCACTGACATCTTAACAGATTTAGTTTGAATACTATTAGAAATGTATGCCTCATTATCGGCTTTAAATGAAAATAACAAGACACGGCTTAGTTTTAACGAGTGCTTTGCTTGTGGAAATTCAGACACTTTTCTCTACTAAATCAGAATAAAGGTTTCACTGGAAGTCAAACTCAATGATCTCTGCAGTTGCACAACAAAAAAGTTTAAAAACGCCTAATTTTTGCAAATGGCCGCTCACACTGAGCCTGATTCTGCTGGAGGTTTCTTACTGTTAAAAGGGAGTTTTTCCTCTCCACCTGCGCTACAAGCATGCTTGGTGTGAGGGATCGCCTTCAAGTCAATGAGTCGATGCAATCAACTGGTTTTCCTTAGTTAGAAAACTGAACCAATCTGAATATATGGTCTGGTTGAATCGTCTCTGTAAAGTGCCTTGAGATGACATGTGTTGTGATTTGGAGCTATATAAATAAACTGAATCGAATTAAATTTGTTGGGGGAAAAAAACATAATTCAATCTTTTTAATATCGAGCAACACTGGCATTCAGTAAGGAGCTGTGTACATAAATAATGAAGAGGGACATGGATTATGTTTTAGTAGAAATCAATTTCAAGTGGCTATATGGACACAGAAAATAAATACATTTAAAAAAAGTACATCTTATAAAATCCAGGGTTTCATCCTTGGACTTCACTGTTCGGAATGTTTTATACTTGAATATACTAGGATTTATTATTACTTCTAGTTACTGCATCTCTATTGGTTTCTTTAATTATTAATACTTGAACTGACATCACGTTTTATGTACACTTAGTTTGATTCATGTTTTCATTTTGCCCAATACAGCATGACATAATGGGATCTGCGGTGTGTTGCTTGGAGCTCTTGGATAAGACACTTTGTGATGAGTCAAAATAAAAAAAAAATAAAAAGAGTTAAAGTTTGTACTTTCTTTTTGTCATAAGTGTCTGCCTTAAAACTAAATTCTTTAAACCATATAATTCTTAGCCAAACAAACAACTTTTTGGTGTTATAAAAAGGAGGCATGTAAAGTTGTTTTTCTTTAATAAATGTCCATCATGTTAAGTTTTGCAAAGCCAAAAATTAAGGGAAAAAAAGGATATTTTTTTATTATATTTAATTATAGCTTCAAATAGGAAACATAAAAACAAAAGAATACAAAAATCTAAATGATCAATAAAACATTTGAGCTCTAAATGTGGCTGTAGAGCTGGGATGAGCAAGCGATTCATGGAAACCTTCACGCCGCTGTCACAGGTTCAATTCCTGGACAGGTAACTTTTGCTTCAAGTCTTCCACCTTTTCTCTCTAACCCATTAATTGTAAGATCATTTTCAAATGAAAAAAAAAGCTGTAAATTGTGATTTATCTCCCGTATCAGTTCTGATATAAGAATAATGTCCCCCAAGCTTTGTCAGACATCTAGCTGTAATAATGAGGGAAAACTGTGGTATCGAATGTCTTTGAAATGCGTGAAAATAAAGGCAAGAGTGCAGCTTTCCTCCTATTTCCACATTTATGCTAAATTAGCTTTGATAAAGAATACAGGAAAGATACTTGAATACATTTGCTTCAAGAATTTGTAAAGAGGACAGCTGCCATTTTTTCTTTTTCAAAACAGTTTTGTGAATTATTAATTTGCACATGAACATGCAAATACAAAAGAAAATGTTGTTTAACAAAACCAATAACTAGTAATTACAGCACCATTAGAGAGAGAAAAAATCCGATTTGTTTAATCCATGTATTGCATCTAGAGCTAATGTTAAATGTCATCCTCCGATCAAACAAAAAACCAAATAAGGCAGATCCTGAACAGAAAACAAAATGGAATGAAATAAAATATACATCTGGTCGGACAGTGATGATCTGGGGAGGATGGACAGAAAAACAAACAGTGAGAGAAAGGATGAAAGATGTTCTGAACTGAGTGTAAAGTTCAGAGCTATAAATTAAGATCCCTGTATATCATCTCTAAAGGTCTCTCAATGAATAAAAACTGGGCAGGTTGCATCCACACTGTGTGTGGGTGTGTGTGTGTGTGTGTGTGTGCTGGATGAAACACAAACATATAGCGGCTCATAAGCTGCACAGTAAAATTATCTTTGAAGGTTTTCTTTCTTTTTTTCGTTACAAAGCCCTTTTGCCATGTTTTTTTAAAAGGTGAAATTTTTGTTGCGTTTAAATTAACTCTAGATTCAGAGGATTTAGTGATGCTTATAAGCATTTTTGCATGTTTTAAGTAAAATGGAGATAGCTCAGTGGAGTGTTCCCTCTTCTTATTGATTCTTATTTTAGGCTGTGAGACGGATCGATTCATCAGCATGACAACTTGAAGCTGGATCAACATTCCTAAATTTAAAATCCTCTCCAATGCATGTAGAAATAGATTTCTGTGTTCAGGACAAACTGAAGTCCTTGCATATCGAAAACCCTCAGACACGTGCAGCTGCTGACCTGGTTAACTCCTCTGTGAGCCATGTAAATCTCAGAGGTTTGGAGCACAGAAAGAATTTAAAGCACATCCTTGGCTGATTGAAGTGTTGTCTCAGCACCGTTTAATTCATGTCCATTGTTCCTGTCACACTGAAAAGTGTGGCCATAAAACTGAGCAGCAATTCTGTAAATTAAAATGAACTGTAAATAGTTTGATTTGCAGTATAAACCTTTTTACTTCTCTACGGTTCTTTAATCCCTCACAAAGTGTTTAAGCTCAACACTTGCACATTAACCAAAAAAACATTACTCTGTTTTATTTGCAACACAACTTACATGCATCTGTGGAGACTTCACACCTATGCAGGTATTTTGCATAAATATGCAAAATACTGCAAGCACTATTTGCTTACAGGTTTGATGCAGGATAACATTATTCTTAAAGGACTATGTGGCTGATCTGTTCATGTTCTTCATTGAGTGATCAGGATTAAACTAAAAGTAAAATGAAAATAATCAGGCTTTTTGCTGTTATTGAACTAAACTAAACCTCTGAGAAATCAATTTATAAATTCGTTCAATGCTTAAAGGGAAAATCTGAATATAAAAACAAGAAAGAAAAATCGTCCGAAAAAGTGAGCAAAAGTTTGGGTTTACAATCACCATTTTAAAAAATTAAATGCAACCAATGACTTAGAACGTAATAATGATTATTACTGAACTGGTCACGCTAAATAGTGAGCAATTATATATTTTTTTGTCTTCTCCAAAAATACAGATTGTGTTTCGACAAATATCTCCAAGTTGAGACGCACAATTGCTGCAACAGGAAATATCCAAGAAAAATCCACTGAACAGCCAATTAAGAAATTTCTATAATAGAAATAATTATCCAAAAGTAGCTTTTTTCCCCAAGAATTGATGATAAAATTAGAATAATAATCTTAATAAAGGCATTTTGTGCTGAATGCGAGTAAAGCATCATCATTTGTGAAAAAAACAGAAAATAAAATACCTAAATAACATCCTTTAATGGAGATGACTGTATTAGATGGAGATTATTCACACTCCCTCTTTTTCCCTCATTATCACAGCACCATTAACACTCCATATATCCGTATTAGAAATGATTCAGAGCTCGACTGAACGGCATACGGTGATACAACAGTCTAGTAATATTGAGTAATATTGATATTACTCACTTATATACGCAGATTAGGATACCTTTATTTTTTTCATAATTCATCTTTATGTTGTTATTGGGGGGTTATTATTACATCTACACATTCTCTTAAGATGAACACCCACTTTAATAAGCTCTCTGCCTTCTCAAACCTTATTCTAAATTTAACTTTTTACTATTTAACTTTAATCAAAACTCTACTTATTAGATTACAAAGGGCCCATACACCCTTGTACAAGGAGAAAATAAAGTTCGCTCAAGAGGCTTTGATTCTTAATTTTAATATTTTTAGGATATTAGCAAAAAGATTATAGAAAAAAATGGTCACACAAATGTTGATCTTAGAAAAATGTATAAGTTAAAAGAGTTAAAAGATAAACAATAAAATACTGTACTGTAAAGTGTTTTACCAACATAAAAATATGCACCTGGAGATTAAATAACCATTTTACAGCTATGG